ATTGATTTTGCTTACCGTTTTGTCCGTTTGTTTGTCTAGAGAATAAACTGCTGTGAGAATTTTCGGGTGACTCATTGCTTGCACACACAAACAATGTGAATGCATAAAGTACATGTGCAGCATGCGCGTGTATGAAGTATGGCATTCGCCTAGCGCGGAGTGGTTCCAACCAAAATAGTGAAACCCAACATTCAGGCGCTATGTTGCGTCGCCTTCATTTTCTGAACTATTTTCAGGGCGCATGTAATAGTTTACTTTCAAAATAGGAGTGAAAAATACTTTCAAAACAACAGGAACCACGGGTGAAACACAAACGAGACATCCAAAGTCGACAAACCAACAAAGGCAAGTGGCGAATCCGGAGTTTGCTTTTGATTAAAAGAATCCACGCTTAGCCTGAGAAACCGCCGACCGATTTCGATTCAACGCGCTTGAATGACTTGCAAAGCAGGCCGCCAACGAGATCGACGGCGTCTAACGCTGTGAAAGGCCGCGCTAACGGCCTTCAGCGGGTAGGGTGGACGTACGGCCATTGGGGAGACAAGCATGGTAAGTTACCATCCCCAGCCTCCGCCGCAACCCACACCGCCGCCCCAGCCCCAACCGCCTCCCCAGCCAGCGCCGCCACATCCCCACGGACGGCCCCAGCCACCTCCCCAGCCCCACGGACTTCCTCCCCAGCCCCACTCCTTCTTGTCCTTCGGCTCGCCTGCCGTCGGCTGCGCGTCCGTGGCCTCCGCCGGTCCGGTTGCGGAGGCGACGACAGTCCCGACCTTGGGAGCGTCAGCCAGAGCTCGAAGCGCGGGCGATTCGGCAGCAACGACGCCCGCGGTGGCGAGCACTGCTGCGACGGCAATGGTGGTGCACTTCATGTTGCTGCTTGGGTACTTGCTAGCTTGGTGTCGAGGAGGCAAGTTGCGGTATGGTGAATGACACCACGGGTGCGGCCGAACGTCGGTCCAAGGGGTCAGCACACGTTGGCTCCGCGCGGAGATTTCCGTCGAAATCGGCCCCTTTCCGCATCAATCAGGAGATTTTTCGTCTTGCAGGCGATTCAGAGGATCGCATGCTTCGATTAAAGTTAGTCGATGAGAGTGCTACGAATTCGAGGGAGTATTCGATCGGCTGGGCACTCTGTAGCGGTGTTTTTATTGATTTTGCTTACCGTTTTGTCCGTTTGTTTGTCTAGAGAATAAACTGCTGTGAGAATTTTCGGGTGACTCATTGCTTGCACACACAAACAATGTGAATGCATAAAGTACATGTGCAGCATGCGCGTGTATGAAGTATGGCATTCGCCTAGCGCGGAGTGGTTCCAACCAAAATAGTGAAACCCAACATTCAGGCGCTATGTTGCGTCGCCTTCATTTTCTGAACTATTTTCAGGGCGTATGTAATAGTTTACTTTCAAAATAGGAGTGAAAAATACTTTCAAAACAACAGGAAGCACGGGTGAAACACAAACGAGACATCCAAAGTCGACAAACCAACAAAGGCAAGTGGCGAATCCGGAGTTTGCTTTTGATTAAAAGAATCCACGCTTAGCCTGAGAAACCGCCGACCGATTTCGATTCAACGCGCTTGAATGACTTGCAAAGCAGGCCGCCAACGAGATCGACGGCGTCTAACGCTGTGAAAGGCCGCGCTAACGGCCTTCAGCGGGTACGGTGGACGTACGGCCATTGGGGAGACAAGCATGGTAAGTTACCATCCCCAGCCTCCGCCGCAACCCGCACCGCCGCCCCAGCCCCAACCGCCTCCCCAGCCAGCGCCGCCACATCCCCACGGACGGCCCCAGCCACCTCCCCAGCCCCACGGACTTCCTCCCCAGCCCCACTCCTTCTTGTCCTTCGGCTCGCCTGCCGTCGGCTGCGCGTCCGTGGCCTCCGCCGGTCCGGTTGCGGTGGCGACGACAGTCCCGACCTTGGGAGCGTCAGCCAGAGCTCGAAGCGCGGGCGATTCGGCAGCAACGACGCCCGCGGTGGCGAGCACTGCTGCGACGGCAATGGTGGTGCACTTCATGTTGCTGCTTGGGTACTTGCTAGCTTGGTGTCGAGGAGGCAAGTTGCGGTATGGTGAATGACACCACGGGTGCGGCCGAACGTCGGTCCAAGGGGTCAGCACACGTTGGCTCCGCGCGGAGATTTCCGTCGAAATCGGCCCCTTTCCGCATCCATCAGGAGATTTCTCGCCTTGCTGGTATTCGAGGGAGTATTCGATCGGTTGGGTAATACCCTGGACCCGTATTTTATTCATTTTGTTTACTGTTTTCTTAACAACAACAACAACCATATCTTGGTGATGGAATATCGAATACTCCTTCGAATTCGTAGCGACGAGCAGGGTGCAGCACGATCAAGCGCGATCCTCAGTATTTATCTGAGTTGCCGAGAAAATCCCTGGTTGGTGCGGAAAGGAGCCGATTCCGACGGAAATCTCCGCGGAGCCGGCGATACTTTACGGCGGTGATCCGACAATTGTCTGTGAAACTGGGGTGTCGAATATAATATAGTAACACAGACTGTGCTACGGTCGATCGCTTAAGAAGCGAAAAAAAAAGCGAAAACAAAAAAGCGATTCGCTTGTATTCTAGCTCTCTTTTTTTATTATCGGGACGTTCATGCCGTACATACCGTAGTGTACATCAAAGTCGAAAGACGCAGCGCAAAATATTGCGACGAAACTCGAGTCCGCACAGCTGAAAATGTGGTTAAGCAGAGAAAAATTTGTCGACGACGTGTACAAGCTGCTGAAGCTGGATTACCCCAATGTGCCATTTTACGAGAATCTGGCACTCAACACGTGGGTTGCGTACATGAATGCTTTCGTGAAGGAGAACCCCGACAAGATATCTACGATGCTGTCGACATTGGGGTCTCAACTTAACGAAAGAAAGCTGAATCAGGTCCTCTTAGTGGCACAAAAGTACCCCAGTATGAAAAGCGCCGCCACTAAAATCCAGACGGAGAAGATCCTGAGATATCTCGCGAGTAACCAATCCCCCAAGGAAATCTTCACGCTGCTAGGACTTGACCACGCTGGGGACACAATCCTCAGGAACCCCTTATTCAAGTCGTGGATGAATTACGTGAAGGACTTCAACAAGAAGAACCCAAAGCACCAAGAGTCCTGGGCAGAGCCACTTCGTACACACTATCAATGGTATGGCACCCAAAAATTGGTCGGGAGGGCGATGCAAAGCCCCAGCACCGTCAAAACTGCGAAGCTGGCGGAGAAAAAGTTGCTCAAGCTGGCACTAGACCAGGAAGAACCCCCCACAAACGTGTTCAAGTTCATGTACCTCGACGAAGCTGGTGGGCAGACTACGAGTTTAAGGAGTGGGTCAAGTACCTGAATGACTTCAACCGACGATATCCAGACCAAAACGTGTCGATAGTCGATGGACTGAGGAAGAGTTACAACGACAAGGCTCTCCTGAAGATGTTCAATGCGGCAAAGAAGAACCCCAGTACGGCGAAACTGGTGGACAACCTGCAAGGCGCGCTTATCAACAAGTGGTTAGCTCTAAAGAAGCAGCCAGAAGACCTGAAAGTGTTTCTTTCTAATGTGGCACTCGCCGATGCCATGATAGCGCGGTATACCAAGAAGTTCGATGCTACACATGCATCGTAACCTCACCTTGAACGGAGACTTTAGGCCAATATACAGCCAGAAAATTGTCGACCAAAATCTGGCATTTGCAGGGCGTGCTTGAACGATATGGTGTACGGATATATTGAGATACGTTTATCCAAATGATGTCCCTATTCTCCAGGTTTACTACACTGTCGCTGCCTCGGCAAGTCGAAGTTTGGTGATGGTCTCTTCATTGGAGTTCCAGTATTTGTTAAACTTCCTCCAACAGCGAAACAGTGGGTCGTCTGTCAGCTGCTCCATCGTGTATGTCGCTTCGTGGAGATCTCCAGACGCTCGTGCAGCATCACCGGGTCAATTTTCATATCGACTGCAATCTGCTCGAACAGCTTTTTCAGGTGGCCCTTTTGGGCGGCGTATAGATTTTCAAGAAACACGAGCTCGTCGATGGCGGAGAACGAGTTGCTCCTGGTCAGCTTGAGCGCTAAGTTCTTCGTGCGCGTCGGCAAAAGCGAAAGCACGTTCTCGATGGTACTGCCGAACTGCCGGCCTTCGTCTTCCGAGTCATCGCCAGTGACTTGCTCGGTGGCTCTTAAGAAACGATCGATGCTGTCAACTGCGCCTGAGGTCACCATCTTGGGTACATGAGGGTGGTTCGCTGTGGACATCGCATCGGGGCTTCGAAACAGCATCGCTGCAGCGATGAGCACACAAGCCAACGCATTGCGGCTAGATAGAAGACACTATGCGTTGTTGGCAGCTAATTGCGGAGTGGGAGGCTATATATTGAGTGAGTCTGCTCTCGTGGCTGTGGGACGTCGATGTGTCTTGCAGCTGCACCTCCTGTTAATTCACGGCCCGGCCGGTAACTTGCAAACCGAATACATTGGTCTGGTTTGTTGCTTCACAGGCGTACATGTACGCGGACGCTGAAACAGTCCTGTACCTGAATACAAGGTATTAATACCGTAATGCACGCTTGCATGATGTTTTACTCTAGCGCTAGACATTGACGTGACGCTCCTTTCAAGATCTTGAGATCGTGAAATTGTCATACAAGGTGATGTGATGCTACCCAGTATCATGGTAGGTAAATACTATACACATTGTGATGTACAGTGTATGCAATGCCACCAGGTTTTTCTTCCAAACGCATCCAATGGCCAATCATCAATGGCAGTTGCAGGATCGGCCTGCTCCTTGGCTAATTGGTCTCACTTGCACTTCGCTTTAATCGCCAAACGTGACCAAAACAACACAATTGAAGTAAACATGCGCTTCCAGTGCATTGTGCTGATAGCCCTCGCGTTCTTTTACGTTGGAATCGACACTGCGGACGCCCTGATCCGTGCTGAACAAGCTGTCCCCTCGAAGACCACCGGTCACAATTGTCTGTCCAGCTCAACAAACACGGGAAGGCTGCTACGTGCTGAAATTGGGGATGACGGTGGAGAAGAGAGATTGCCAAACAGCGAGTGGGTGTCCAGACTGGCGCAAGCGGACCGAAAAGTACCGAAGCTGCGGAAGCTTGACATGAAGCTGTCCCAGTGGTTATGGATCAGAGACGGCAAAACCCCGGAGGAATTGTTCTATACATTCAGCAATCTCTACAACACATGGGCGAAGATCGAGAGCAACAAGAAAACCGTCCAATGGTTCCGGTTTGTCGAGGCGTATCGAGCCAAGTGGGGAACAGGCCGTTTTGTCGATCAAGATATCTACCGCTTGCTCTCTACAAAAGTGCGGGAGGACAAGTTGGCGATCGTGTTTGAGACTGACGCAAATCCCGGACGTGAAAACTCCGAGACGATGCAGAACTCCCAGTTTAGGCTGTGGATCTCCCGAAAAGAAACCCCGACCAGTGTTGCGGCCATACTCCACATGCCGGACATCACTCCTTTGACAGCCGAGCGCGGTCCCAAAGATGCGATTCTGAGCGCTTTTACGACTATGCTGAAAAAGCTGGAAGGACGCTGAACGAGGAACGAGCAAGTTGGCTAGAAGGGCTTATGCATGCGATAATGAACCTTTTTCAGAAACGAATGCTAGTAGCAACCAGGGATAACCAGTTCATCAGTATCAACCCCTTCCTTTATCAGGAACGAAACACGAGCGACGGTTCACTCGAACGACTTTATAGAAGTGCTTTCCTGAGTTTTTTTTAGTTAATTTACTGCTTTCCATTTCTCATAGTGCATGAGCAAGGTTTCGAATAGAGTAGCGCACTAGATCCAAATACACGTTGAGGAATGGGCTACGAGTCCATATTAAGTATATGAAGTTCCTGGTCAGCTTCCGTGCTAAGTTCTTAGTACGCATTGAGAAAAGCGTAAAACGTTCTCAATGAAGCTGCCAAACTGTCGTTTTTCTTTCGTCTGGTTCATCACCACCTTGGTTCATGTGAGCCAGATCCTGCTGTCGACCGACTTACACCGTCTGCGATCGCCATCTTTGGGAACAGTTTTGTTTGTTTTTGAATTGAGGGATCAGCTAACAACTAAATCTTTGGAAACAGTGGAGTTCCCCTTGTCGATACAGCGTCGGAGGTTGGGAACAGCATTGCCGCAGCAATGGCTGCGCGTATTAGATCAATTGGGTGCTACTTAATTGTGAGACTCACAATTTGTGAGTACCCAAGTACTTCTACATCCGGCATGGTCACCTTGGACGAGACCGGAGGAAGGCACAATATGAATGTATCTGGGGGAGCAACGCATCGAACCTCTTATGCCGACGTGAGCAAGCCAATAGATCATTCAAGCGTCATCTAGCAGAAAACAAAAGAAAAGTTGTCCTAAAGGGGGTTTGTAGCACGTTATTTGCGTTCGTGAATGCCATCCCAACAAACAACATCTTTAGAGTAGAGACAGTAGTTGCAAGTTGACGCTAGCGCACGAGTTCAAATGAAGTCTATGCACTCGAAAGTCGGCGCAATGTACTCGAAAGTAAGGACGACCCAGATCAATTATGGTTCAGAACAGAACAGTCTTATTGGTCTATTCCACCATAAAATGACTATCTGATCCACCGCTGTGCTGGGAGCAAGTTCTACACATTAGATGCAAGATCGGCTTCTAGCCTCCTAGCATCGAGGGAAGTTGGTCTACAGCGACGGCTTTTCACCGGATCACATCGTCGGCCTAGATTCTCGTCCAGTACACTCCCACCGAGTCAAGCTCCTTGCCACTGGTTCCGAAGAAGCCGCCCAACTGGAAGCCCGCGGGTGCGCTTTCGATCCCGATCTTAGTCGCGCGAGTGCCTCCAGAGATGGTGTGGTTCGCGTTGGTGGTGAACCGGATGAATCGGACGCGCGTGTGGCTGTGGCACTCGCCCCAGTGAGCTTCGATCCCCGTGACGTTCTCGCCCTCGCCCATCGTGAGCGTGTTCGAGTCGCCGCCACCGCCGCCGTGGTACAAGGGCTCCTGTCCCTCAATTTCGATACCAACGCCGTTCACGCGCTCGCCGGTGCGGATCGTGATGGCCTTGACCACTTGTCCCGGGGACACCAACGCTTTGTCGTCGTACTTCTTGCCATGTGGGCCGCCGAAGGTCGTGCTCAGTCGAATGCCGTCTTCGACGGCGGTAACGCTGGTCGCGATGAGAGCCGCCGCCACGGAGCTGGGAGATGAACTTCATGCTTGTCGAGGATTATTGTTGGAAGGACTCAAAATTGGAAATGAACTGAAGCTTTTCGCGCTTATCAGTAGAATCTGCCCCCTGAAGCTCTCGGAAACACAGGCGGAGCTCTAGGTTGGGATACAAGATAGGATATGTTGATTGGTGAGCTGCGATTAAAACAGAGAAAAACGCGGACCATTGGAAACGATATCGATGACTGGATTACCAGCCTGAGCAGCTCCTTGTGCCGACTTAAGGATTATGGGTTTTAGTGTTCGCCTTGTTTAATTCGAACTATTGTAGCCTGAAATCGTATCTCGCGCATGGTTTGTTCTTTCATGCCTGTGCAGTACTTACAAACAAACGTTGCAACAGTGTACAGTTCCGGTAGATAACTGAATACAATGCCCCGTAATGCATGTTGGCGTGATCCCTTACCAGTACAGTTCGTGTACTTTAGTACCAAACGTTGACGTGATGCTTCTTTCAAAATCTTGAGATGGTGAATTGGTCATACAAGGTGATGTGATGCTAGGTAAAACACAAGGTATACGTTGCTGTATGTAGCGGATCCAGAACCAAGTGTTGTGCCGTCGCAACAGTATAAGAGGAAGGTAGCATAGTGTTCATTACAATCTAGCAGCAGCTCATGCGGTCAATCATTTCGTGGTTGCTGCCTGTGTCACCGACAACCGCAATACAGTGCAGCTCTACCGAATGCGTACCCCGGATATCGATCTATCGATCTCGGGTATTATTTATACAGATCATACCGCGTGGTACTGAATATCCTGTTTCCCGTGCTCGATCTCGGTGTGTTATGCTGGCTTCTATGCAATATACGTCACCATGATGCTTGCATGGTGGAAAACAGGAGATATATATAATAACCTGCTGTACAGTAATATGCACAGCATTCAATCTCTTCCGAAAGTTACCCTGTTGTATTGCCTCACAAATCACAAGAACTCTAAACAGTTGATCATGTGGAAGGATGCAGTTTTTTTTTTCACGCTGAGGCAGCTAAACGGTTCTCAATGTGTCCGCACTTTTCGTTCTCCTTCCACAAACAACAGTACCCCAAGGCATCATGCAGACTTGGATGGAGTTCGCGACACTTGCCACCCTAACTCTGGCAGCAGAAGCAGCATTCCAAGGCAGTTCCCAGGATCTATCGTCGCTGTCAACACCCGGCGTACTTCCCCTCCCTGAAACTCCAAGTCGCTCTCAAGCACAAGACCACGAAGATCCACGGGGCATTCGAGTTCGACATGTACGCCAAACCATCGTGTCGGACGATGGCAGCAGCTTACGCTACGACGGCTACCCCACTTTTCCCGAAGACAGCACGCAATTCACCTATTCACTCGTGGGACTACAGAAGACGAACGCACTGGCATTGAAGCCGTCCAGTGTCTTCCACCGGGGACGCTGTCGTTCGATGATATCTTACCTGCGCTAAACGACGCGGAGCCGGTCTCCAGAGCCTCAGTAGGCGGCGAAGGTGTCGAGTGTCGGAGTGGGAATTTGTTCAGAACTTCCTTTGGCGACGCTGCCTTCGCTGTTTGCGCGTCGGGTGCATCTGGTTTCACTGTCACTGGCGTCGATTTCACCATGAAGGCCGAGTATCTGGATGGACCTGTAAGGATTACGGCACCCAAGCCCACCGATGGGTCCTCGTCGTGTGATGTCGTAGAGGAGCCTATGGAAGTGACGCCAATAGCACTTGCGGTACTCACCGGTAGCGCTGTTCCTTCTGCTTCTCCAAGGAAGCTGAAGGCATCTGCCCCGCTCGTATAGTGCGACATGGTAGTACAAGTAGACTGTAGGGCTACACACCCTCCCATGAACAACTTCGTCGACATAGGGAACCCATTATGAAATTTCGACATCGTCTCCGCGCGCCTAGAACAGTAGCTAACCCATCGCACCACAGCTCAGCACTCGAGCTTGACACTTCAACATGAGACGGCCCCCATCGCGTAATGTAAGTCACGAAAAGGTATTTCTCACGAATATGCGGCACCGCGCGTTGTTATCCATTCCAGGCTCGGTACCCGGTAGGCCTCCTCGGCGGAAACGTCTCCAGCTGCCGAGTGCGCCTCAACTGCGTCAGGCCGCCGACATTGTGGGGTCAGAGAAGAGCAAAGACTTATGAGAGCAGCCTACCATCGCCACTGATGACCCTGAATCCTGCTCTAGTGCTAGAGGCCAGGGGCGGCCTCGACCCAGTATTGTTCGGGGACAGCTACCTTGACCGATTCTACGCGGCCAAGCTGAACCATGCAGATACCGCGTTCCTGACTCGGGACGGATTCTTCAAAGACCCCCAGAAGCCTTTCAAGTGGTTCGAGTGTTTGCTGTAGGGGACCGTAAAAGCCTAGACACTCCAACCAGTCGAAAACACAAAAACACGTTTGATCCACGCCGATCTTGACACCAACATCAAACTGCTGTAGTCCTGTCGAAGCCGCACCACATCCAGCAACAATGGCAACATAACTCAAAAAGTAAAACCCGCGAATCGTTTCACAAGAACTCAACTAAATGCTGCAGCTCGACTGTCTCTGCGTCCATCCTGGCTCCTAAATGGTCTTGATCTGCGCCATCGGCGCCTTGTATCCGGCGCCCATGGCCGTGTACACGGCCCCGCTCGAGCCCCCTCCGTAGACGTTCTCCGCCGGGGGCGGGTTCCTCATGAGCTCCGCCCTGTACGCGTGCGAGCGCTGGATGGCCACGTACGTGACGAAGAGCTGCACGCCGAAGGACAGCGTGCCGAAGATGACGACGCCCCAGGCCCAGGCGTCGAAGTCCTTCCACTCGCTCACGAGGATGAAGAGCACGACGGCCGAAATGGCCTGCAGCAGCAGCATGAAGCAGTTGCCGAAGTAGTACTGGACAGCAACAGACAGCAGAGAGAAGAGAAGGCGTTAGGCAACGTCCAGGTAAAGAAGGCATGGCTAAGGGGATAGCTAGCTGCAGCACGTACGAACTGGATGAAGCTGACTTTGCTCTGGATGACGGGCTGCACGGAGCCATAGTAGCCCATGGCGGCCACGATGACGCCGAAGAGGCCCGACCACCACACGGTGTACGTGAAGAAGAAGGACACGAGCGTCACACCCAGCTGCAGCAGCGCGATGGCGTTGCACGGGTCGCGGTTCTCGTACAGGAAGCCGAACTGGTCGTTGCGCTCGAGGTCCGCCATCTGTGCTGCGTCTTGGGGCCGGGCTGTAACTAGCGAGGGAGCTGACACTGAGCTTTTTAGCTGCTGGAGGTGCTGGGGGGGGGAGCGCTGGTGCTGGTCCTCTCGTAGAAGGCCGAATGAGTGATTCGCTTTCCAGCGACTGGATCGCGTCGTTTCACAAGAAGATACGTACTTCCAGGAAGCCATAAAATATGGTTAATTTGTGGTCCACACCGTAACAGAGCTCTTCGGTTTGGCTTCCCGGTAGATACTGGACGACTATTGTGACGTCTTGACCAGGACGACTATGAACCAAGATGACTTCCGGCAGATGCTCGCGAGCCGCGAGGCGGAGGGCGAACAGCGCGGCTACGGGGGCAAGCGCAATCTGACAGACGCGGACCTTGCGGAGGCGAGGAAGCTGTCCGCGAAGAAAGCCAAGAAGAAGGGCAAGAAGCCGAAGAGTGCAACGCCCGCGGACGCCGGCGACGCCGAGCATGAGAAGCCTAAGAGTTCGTACCGAGACCGCGCGGCCGAGCGACGCAGAGGAGGGACAGGAGACATGATCGACGCCGACGAGTACAAACATTTGAACACAGAGCAGAGCAAGTTCCTGGGCGGAGACATGGAGCACACCCACCTTGTCAAGGGGCTGGACTACACGCTGCTGGCTCAGCTGAAGAGGGAAAAGGAGAAGCTCCTGGCGGAGAAGGAGAAGCAGGCTCAAGTACAAGCCGGAGATAATGATAGTACTGGACAGGTAGTGACGACACGGCCACGAGATGGCAAGCTCACGTTCAAGTCGAGGATGGGGAGGCTCGTGTACTTCCACGCGTGTCAGAGCACGCCAGAGGCCACGACGTCAGTGAAGTCGGAGCTGTTCCTGCCCGGCAGGATGTACTACACGTTTAACCTGTCGACTGCAGAGATCGAGAGCGTCCCTGTGAGTGTGCAGAGGAGTAAAGATGACTGCCCGGAACCTGATGAGGTGGTGAGCGGCATTGTGGACGAGGCGCTTGTGGACAGAGTCAAGGAGTTGATGACCAGCAAGAAGAGCGGGAAGAAGATGCGTAAGAAGAAAAAGGAGAACCATCACCACCATGCAGATAAAGGTCAGAACGATGGAGAAGAGGACGAGAACGCAGCGGACGCAGACGTGCCGATGGAGGAGGTCGCAGTTGAAGCTCCTGCTGACGACGAGGACGAAGATATCTTCTCTGACGTGGGCGAGTACGTCCCGATCGATCAGCGCACGGATGAGTCGTCTGCCGATGCTAGGAAGAAGGAGGAGATCAAGAAGGCGGGATACTTCTCGAACCTCAGTGCCTCCATCACTGAGAAAGAGGAGGAGGCTCGAAGAAAGGAAAAGGACGCCGAGCGTGCTTGGAAGGAGACGCTGCAGAAGGCTGTTGACGCGCAGAAGCGGATCGAGCGCGAGAAGGAGCGGAAGGCAAAGGAGGCCAAGATGACCGGCCAGACGGACGACTATGCCGAGTACCAGGCCATTGGCGCCCTGCCAGATAGCGACGACGAGGACGACGAGGAGACAGCTCGGCGCCGCAAGGCCGCAGGACTCACGGACCGCAAGGGCGACGTTGACCCGGAGGAGAAGGCTCGACGGAAGCAGCAGAAGCAGAGCAGCAAGCTCGCGAACGATCTCGAGAAGATCAACAAGGTAAGGGCTGGTGTCATGGTGAAGTGGACATCTGACTCACTATTAATAACGCGTACCGTACCCTGTGTGGTTAACAGATCATGGAGGAAAAGTCTAAAAACTAATAGAAATCAGTTCTGGCAGAATCTTCTCACCCTTACTATTGGCTTAAATCAATATCCAATTTCCTCCAATGACACCGCTGTATTCTATCCATTGGTTGAGAGCGCCGCCTGCGAGCGAAACGCAGACACCCTCGGGCGTCGCCGTGGGCATCATTTTTGCCTGGTCTTCCAGTTTTCTACTGCAAAGGTGCGTTCTCGCTTCTGCATCACGCACAGGCCTCTCTCTATCTACAGGACGCAGGAAGGACGAGGGGACGAGCATACACAACAGCTTAGCACGGCGATGCATCAGCCAGATGGATGCAGGGATCTCTGCTCTGTGGATGTCGCCGCCCCTCGTCCATCCGTGTCATAAGGGGGAGGATATTAGTGCCCAACAGTCAATGGGAGACTGACCTCTGTGTGTGTGTGGCTTGATTCCCGACAGAAAATGGCTGACGCTATTGCTCTCGCTCGTGAACGCCTCGCGGCCAAGTTCGGTGACGTCCGTACGGGCGGCAAGGGCACGGTGCGCCGAAAGCGCAAGGCCGCCCACAAGACGGCCACGGCGGACGACAAGAAGCTCGGCGCCACCCTCAAGAAGCTGGGCGTGACCCCCATCCCCGGCGTGGAGGAGGTGAACCTCTTCAAGGCCGACGGCCAGGTCATCCACTTCCAGGCCCCCAAGGTGCAGGCCTCGATCGCGTCTAACACGTACGCCGTGAGCGGCTTCAACCAGACCAAGTCGCTGCAGGAGCTGCTGCCGGGCATTATCAACCAGCTGGGCCCGGACAACCTCGCCAACCTGAAGCAGATCGCCGAGTCGTACACGGCCGCTCAGAAGGCCGCCAAGGCCGCGTCAGCCGCCGCCGCTGACGACGACGACGACGAGGTCCCGGACCTTGTGGACAACTTCGAGGACGTTAGCCAGCAGGACTAAGAAACGCGCGACGAGCGCGGCAGCCTGCATCCATGGAGAGGGGACGATGACCCAGTGAGGAGTAAATGACGAGCGAATGGCCCAGCATGTCTGCGTTTGTTGGATGTCTGTCTCCGTATCCGCACGACAGTTCCCGTCGTGGGTTGTCGCCTTCTTAGCCGCTCGAGGATGCAGGTCGCCGCTGTCCGCCGACGCCGCCTTTGGTGTCCTATAGGTTTCGCATCAAGGAGCGTAATTTCTTAAGAGAATCCCAGTACTACTAGTACGCCAGGCATAACATCAGTGCAGTTGTGGAGTAGCCGTGTGTGTTCATTGCTTGCGTCTGGAGAGAGGGTTAACGCACTTGCACGCGACAGACTTGGCTCCGAGAGTTGCATTGTTGCAATGGCAGCAGCATTGCATGCAGGCTGCGTGCACCTCGCATCCAACGCCGAAAGAATCAGTCACCAACACTGAAGCTGCGGCGGTCAAAGGCCTCCTCCTCTCCATTCTGCAGTCGTCACTAGGCGGCGGTTATCTACACTGTCTTCCCTCCTTCTTCTCCGCTTTATCCGCCACTCAGCGCCGCACAGCAGACCAGAACGCCCCTCACCGCCGAATAACTAGGCGCCTAAGTTACTCCTTGAGGGTCACGATGGCCTTCTTCCAGTCCTTCTCCTTGTACACGTAGCGGCCGCGGAACGCGCGCTTAAACTTGCCTACCAAACAATAATACACACATAGAGTAAGAGACCTGAACAATAGCCCACATATAGCCCCTGTAGACTGCAGACGCACCCTCGTAGTTCATGGTGTTGACCTTGGCCACGGGCAGGTCGTAGACCTTGGTCAGGTACTCCTTGATCTCGTGCTTGGTGTAGTGCGGCTCCACGCGGAAGACGAACTGGTTGTCGCGCAGCCGCGTGCGCGCGTTCTTGCCCATGAAGGTCACCGCCATGTTGGGGAACTTGACGCGGTTCCACACCATCTTGCCAGCCTGCTGCAGAGTCTCAATGTATGTATGGGGCGGAGAGCTGAGCGCGCTGTGGCTCACAGCCGCTGCTTTTCCACCAATCCCAGCGGCACAAGGCCCTTTTCAACCAATTAAAACACGTCGCAATATTCGACCAATCGGGACGACTATTGCCACTTTGCAAAGGAGCTCACAAGACAACATGGCGCGGGCGGGCAAGTGCTTCGAGTGCGTGCTGCAGGGCGAAGTGGTGCGTCTGACGGCGTCTAGGCGATGTGCTATTGATAACAAGGTAATGCTGTTTGCGTATACTAATTTTAACGGGTATTGGTGCTGTGGTGGTGGTGATATGGCGGCTAGAACTTCAAACACTTCCCCTCCTTCGTCGAGCGCCTCGGAGGGCTGTGCGACGAGAGCGTCGTCAAGGTAAATCGACTGCAGAATACGGCTATTGTGTTCATTTAGTAGTGATTGTGTATTTCTGGGTGGTTATGGGCAGGAGGACATTGCGTACAAGGAGTACGTGTACAACTTCGACGACAAGTGTCCGCAGTACATCCAGGGCGTGCCGCACTATGAAGTGCGAGCGCGTCACGTGTTTTCCGGCTCCACGACATTCCAGGGAGAAGCGGTGGAGATGCCCTCGGATGGAGGACAGAAGTGGTGAGAGATTGCTATGCGGCAAAGGCTTGAACCACGGTGTAATTACTGACACTCTTGCTGTCGCAGGGAGCTGCGATACATTGGGCGGTGGGAGCGTAAGAAGATGTCGGAGCATGTTGGGAGTGCGCCATTGGGCGTGCCGTTCCGCAGTCAGATCGCCGTCTCGGTTGGACAGAACGTGCGATCTTTCCTCGGCACGCTCGGCTTCCGGTAAGATGACCGGTGTTTGTTGCTGTGCTCTAAATTGAAGCTGACGTGATGCCACTTGCTACAGCCACAGCTACAGGTACATGAGACTTGGCACGCGATGGCAATTCCCGAATGGTATCACGATTGAAGCTACGCGCATGAAGGCGGTAAGTGGTATACTAGTACTGCTCGAGGAACCAATTCAGTTTAGAGCTAATGTGTGGCTGTTGTGACCGTACATAGTTGGAAAATGAGGACGAGAAGGACGAGTATCGTCTGGTGGATCTGGAAAATCTGCGTGTGGAGGCTCTGCTCGTGGAGATCTCCGCTCTGACGACGGACGAGAAGATCGACGAGGCCTCGCAGAAGATTCGCCGTTTTGCAGTTGACCTGGACCCGTACTTCATCGAGCGTCCGTCCGAGGGCAAGGAGATTCTGCACAGCACTGCTACTCTGGCTGCTGAGCGCCGCAAACGCCCGCGTCAGTAGAGCGACTGCCCGAATAAAAGTGAAGCGACGAAATGACCGTAACACAGCTGAGTGTCACGAAGAATTTCAATCTGAATCGGTTTACGGAATAAAAATGAGGTTGGTTAGTGCGGAGTGCTTTGGTGTCGCTGTGACTTCCTTGGGTCTTGGGCACTAAATTGTCTCTATCAGTCGTGTCTTGGGGCTGATGCATCTGGGAAAATCGTGCACGACTGGGTAGAACGCTTGGCGCTGTCTCTAATTGCAATCACAGGCGAAGCCTTGTTGCTTGACAGCTCTGTACTTCGGAGGTGGCGTCTGGGAAAGTCGGATAATCTCCGGTGGTGCAGGCTCTTCCTCCTCTTTTTTGTCGTCACCCGCTTGCTGCTTCTCCTTCTCCACCTCCTTCTCAGCTCTGAGGTCCACCACCATGCGGTCAATTAGACACTGAAACGCGTCGCCAATGTGCTCGCCGCTCTTGGCCGATGCGCGGAACCACTCAACGATCTTGTTCTTGTCCACGCACTTCTGCATGTTGACACCCAGATCCAGCGCGCCCATGGGGTCCATCAGCAGGTCGCTCTTGTTCGCGACCATCACCACGGGGATCTCCGCCCCTTCGTTCAGGTCTTTGCAGCACGTGTCGATCTCGTTCTTCCAGTTCACAACCGCGTCAATTGTATTGGCGCGCGTGATATCGCACACGATCACAGCGCCCTTCGCCTCGCGGAAGTAGCCGCGCGTGAACTTGGCAAACCGGTCTTGGCCCGCGATATCCCACAGCTGCAAGCTGATGGTCAAGTGCTCATCATACTCGATAATCTTCTCCACAAAGTCCGCCCCAATGGTGCTCACGTACTCCTCGTTGAACTCGTCCTGCGTGAATCTGCGGATGGTGCTGGTCTTGCCACAGCGAGCGTTGCCCACGATGAGCACTTTCATGATCACAGTCTCCGGCTCGTCGTCCGAGGACGAGTCGAAGCTCTCGCCGATCTCCGAGCCGCTGCTGCTCGATCCACTCGAGAACTGGGCGAGCATGGCCTCGATCTCCTCCTTGGTCGGGGCTGGGGCGTTCTTCAGCTCTGCGAGTTGCTGCTGCACCTCCTCAAGACTCAGCGAGGCCGTCATCGACCTCGAGCGCTCGCTGCGAGCCGCCAATGGGTGGGAGGAATTGGAGTGATTGCTGTGGACACTGTGCGTGTCGTTAGCCTCCTCGAAGTCCGTCAGCGTGCGCGCCTCCGAGTCGTTGTCGACGCTGCCGACGCTGCTGCGGTGCTGCTGCAAGATGCGCGCCGACTGCTTGGAGCTGAACATGGCCGCTACGTCGCCGTAGTCCATAGCTCGGTCCGAATCTATTGTGTTCTCGACGAGAGGGTTCTCGAGAGCGACAGACTTGGGACGAGGCTTCCGTACTGAGTTGTCCTGGAAGAGCCACAATATAACTGAGCTCTTCAACTTCGGTTGCAAAAGTATCTACTTCCTGATTGGCTTAAAATAAAACTCAGGGATTGGTCCTAAACCGACAAGTATTTAACCAATCAGAAAGTCTTGTCTTTGCGAGACTTTCTTAAATGAAAGTTTCATTGCGATCGCTGCAATCCTGTGATCGGCTGGTAAGGGGTGTAAAGTTATCCTTGTTACAGATTAATGACTTCTCGATAAGCAACCAAAGTTCTGACTATGGAGCTAAGAAAGACGTAAGGTATGGGTGACGTCCAAGCTTAAAGTGTCGGAAGCGCTGGGTGGCGCTTGAAGAGCTTCCTCGGCGTTTGTGTTGAAAGCGCGCCTTCGTATAGCAAACAGACGAGGGTGGGCCGTGACAAAACGGTGCAGTCATGACGAAGCTGGGAACCCGTGCAAACACTCTTGGAGCCGCTGGCAGGTAGCATCTTCGGAAGAACGGAGTAAAGAACGGAAATGGGCGCTGAAAATTGCATACACGCGATAGGTAGCTGTGGATGCTTGGAGTGGAGGATGACCCTCGCATTGATGATTGTTGCGTGCAGTCCAGATAACATGAATCGCGATACTTTTAAGGATCATCCAGAGAATTGATAGTTCGTGGCCATGGAGATGAGCCCGCGCGGGCCAAGTCGGCGCAGTCGGGAGCCACACGTGGTCCCAGGAAATAGTGTCGATGAGTGCACTCCAGTCCTTGGTGACGAATTGACACAAGGGAGTAACGTGGTGACAGTCGAAAAACAAGTGGTGTTCAGTCTCAACTGACGAACACCCAGGATACCCGCAATTCAACGCGTCGGAAGATAAACGCTGCAAAAACCAGAAGCGTGAACGTGTTGGAAGGAGTATCCAAGTGAGGCGAAATTGAAGGTCAGCGTACACCGGAAGGACAACGCGTCTGAGATCTTTAAGTGAGTGAATGGCGCGAACCAGTGTATCGTGAACCGCGCCTGCGCAATGGTGCTCAATGGGATGGTCCCTCATTGCCACTGTCGCGGTGCCCAGCATTCGGCGTAAATCACGCTTCGTCAAGCAGGGAAATCTGTTAATCAAATCGGTCTGTGCAAGTCCAACCGGCGCAGCCATATCCGTGACGCGAGCGGGGCCGAACGGAACCTCACCAGGACCGACGATCGCTGTGACGAGCACACTCAAATCTTGATAGAGTAGTTGGAGTTGCTGCACACGTATTCGCAGGGGCCACTAGGGAAGGATCAACACGAAACGACTGAGAAACTGTGGGCCTGTAGGCCACGTTTTGGAAAAAAATCCATATGGCACCGACAACCCGTAGCTGCCGCAAAAGCAAGCCGAAAATCTCTCGATCTCCTGCTTCACTCATTAGTGAGCTCCGTTTGCCTGGTTGCCACTCGAGTTGAAGTTGGGGATGGGCACTGTGCCACACATCGGCGTGCAGTAAAGCTGTTTGGAGAGAGCCGTCGTTGCCCTGCACTGTTGACCGGAGGTGAGACAGGGATGCGTAAATGTACCAGGATCTTTGCCACCACGTCGGAATCTCCATAAAAGGTAATACTTGTAGCCGCCGCGAGAATGGGCATCCGAGGAAGTCAAATGGCGAAAGTTGTAGTTCACGTGGGAGTATAGTATCCAGAACAGCGGTACTGGTCCCTTTCCAAAGCTCGGCCGGCGACATCCAATAACGCTGCTGAAATAAGAGCACTCGCTGAGTTGAAATTGTAGTCGTAAGACTAGGAATCTGCAGCCTACCGCTGGTAAAGGACACATGGTAGATACTAGGTTTTGCTAGCTTGACGAACCGCCGGCTGACCTCTCCTCGTCGCGTGAGGAGGTATTGCTCGACTAACGCTTGAAGCCGCTGAATCATGGCCGCGGAGAGATCGAAATGCGGTGTAAAGTGCCACAATACAGAAAGGACCATTGCGTCCAAAATCAGAAGCCGCCCCCCGATACGTACGCGCTCGGGTACCCCATCGAGACAATCGAGCGCAGACCTTAGCCTCCAGAGAGCCACAGACCGCGTCAGCATGATGATCGGCTTGCTTACATTCGAACTTGGTCATGGGTTCACCGTGATCGCGGGGTGACGAATGTATACAAAACCCCAATGCAAAATACTGCGCCTGACATGGCAATCCCGAGACACACTTGATCTCCAGCACATACGGCTGCGCTGTCGGTACAGTAGGCAGTCCGCTCATTTCTGAATTCCCTCAGGTCGATCGATGAGCCTCCGTCTCTTGCGAGTTTTGACGAGCCTCATCGTCATCGCGCACTTTGCGTCGGTGACAGGCTCCGCAGCCCTCGTGTCCAACGTTTCCAGCTGGGCTGGTGCCGATTATGTGAGCGAAACTGGTATCGATGCAACCAGATTTCTGAGAGTCAGCGGCGTCGGTGGTGACGGCGGCGAGGAGAGGGCGGGCCCGACTGCCCCTATCGTCGAGAAGGTCCAGACCTTGGTCACGGCTTCGAATGCAGCGCCGGAAAAGCTCCAGAAACTGCTCAACGCCGAAAACTCCGCTGATGACGCTTTCACCCTCTTGAATCTCGACAAGGTTGGAGACGCGTTGTTCTCTATCGGGAATTACAAGAAGCTCACTCAGTGGCTCTCATCCGGCGACGACTTGAGTGCAAAAAGTCCCGCGGTAGGAACGTCCGCGATCTCGACTCTACTTACGCACTACGATGACGCTACCCTGTACACCCTGATCACCAAAGCCAAAAGGATTTCGAGAACGAAGGATGTCGCCACGAAGTTGCAGACTGAGTAGATGCAGCCCTGGTTGGCCGCCGCAAAAGACCCGGACGATGCATTCCGCCTGATGAAGAGTGGCGAGACGAAAGGGAATATTCTCACCAACCGTGAATTCGACGTTTGGGCCCAATACGTTGACGATTTCAACGCAAAGTATCCTGACCAAGCGGTGCCACTGGTCCCGTCGCTCGTGAAGCTATACAAGGATGGTGGTCCTCTATTTGAAATGGCCCAGACGGCGAAGAACTTGAAAAATACCAGAAGCATCGCAGCCAAGGTGCAGGATGAGTTGATTAAGGTGTGGTGGAATATCCAGGTAGCCCCGAATCTTCTCCGTCTGGATTGCGGTAGCGGCCTTCTCCTTACTGTGGAACTTCTTGACGATCAATTGGAGAATTTGGTTGAAAGGTTGGTCCTTGAAGCGCGACTCGAACGTCGACAGCAAGGTGGACGCCTTGCTGGGATTCGCTGTGCTGACGGTATTCACGTATGAAACCCACACGCCGAAGGCAGAATGGGCAGCGATGTCACCTACTAGATGCTCAGGGTCTAGCCGTAGCCGTTTGTACACATCGTCCACAGATTTTTCACTGCTCCGCCACATTTCCAGTTGTGCAGACTCCAATCTCGATGCAACGCTCTGTGTTGCCTTGTTTGCCTTCGCTCTAAGAATCATCTTGGCCACGAGGTCATCACCGAATGTCCGCGTTAACGCTTCGACCATCGTCGCTCTGACGGGTTTCTCCGCTTCGCCGTCGTTTACGTTGTACGCTTTAATGTATCGGGCACGGGCCCACTGTTGACTAGCGGGTTCACCCAAATCTTACCATTATTTTCTCAAAGAAGGGAGTTTTTGCCAAGCCCGATCGCCACCAGAACATCGTCCGGAGTCTTCCCACTGTATGTGCTGAGAAAATCGAAATACTGGGTCAGGACCTTGACGTCGTTTGCGTTTCCTCTCGCCCTTCTAAGCATCCATGTGGGGGAAACCAGAGAAGTTCATTCCGCGGTTAAGGAGGCCAATCTCTGGTTGTCTTGTGTAACAGGGTTACACGCACAAGTGGCTACAGTCACTTGTAACTAACAGATACGACGTCTGTTAGAGGTTCGAAAGACTTTCTCGACCTTGGTGTAGGCACACCAAAGGCTACATACATTTACGACCACCACGACGGGTGGTCCATAGAGACTTAGGATTCCTATTGGCTGAGAGCAGCATCTCTTAGCCAATGAGCGACATGCATAGCATTGGAATTCTTCCAACCAGCCGTTCGCAGATTCCTATCTTAGAATATTACATTTAGGGCCTGGTCGGGGAATGATCGTCTCAGTCTCGCTCGTCTCCGGTAAGCCTACCCCTAAGGTGAACCGAGCCGATGTGGTCGGTTGGCTGGAGACCGTCTTAGTTTTGGAGTGTCAAGCGGCTCGACTCAGCACCGTCACACTCGAGAACTCACAGCCATGGAAGGCACCCTTACTACTCCACCTGTGGGCGGCGCTGAAGCTGAAGACGCTGCTGAGAGAAGCGTAAGCGGCACGGACCCCAACGGGAGCGGCGTCGAGAGAGCACCCCCGTATGGTGGTGGTCGCGGGGCAGGTCGCGGTGGTCGTGGAGGACGAGGAGCTTCGACCAGGCCAGCTGCATCATGGAGCGATGATGATGTGATCGAGTTCTTTCGCCTCCGTTACGCAGAGTTAGCTGACAACTTCAAGAACACGAAGGACACCAAGCGCATCAAATATGCGTGGGCCGTCTTAGCATCAACACTCTCTGTTAACCAGAGCAAAGTGTTCACTGACCAGCAGTGTCAATCTAAGGTAAATATCTACAATGTGAAAATATATTTCGGAATGAGCCACTACTAAGTTATTAATCATGATGTGCGGTGAATATTTTTTAAAGATGAAGAACATGAAGCAAAAGTGGGCGTCTGTGCGGGAAGCAGAAGGTCGAACTGGCAACGACGGACCCGTGCGGCGCCCAAATCACTACTCCATCATGAAAGACTACTGGGGTGATGCGACGGGGATGAACAACCGACCGCATCTTAGCACGGAGGACCCGGATACAATTGCTGCTGCTGGTGACGCTGCGAGAGCCGACGTCGCTGCCTTCGCCACACCTGCCTCACCTCCCCCTCCTCAATCTCCAACGCCCCGCACCATGTCTGGCTCCACGGGGTCGTCTAATAAGCGACAGAAGCGCACCCAGGGGGAGTGTGTGGAGGCGGGTTTGAGTGCGGTTGCTAAAGGGTTTAGCGAAGGGCTAGAAGCTTTCGGCCAAGGACTTGCTACAGTCCGAAATGGGGGTGCCGAAGACATGTGCAGCAACAGACCGAGCTGTTCCGCGAGCAAAGTGAGCGGGCTCATGCCCAAACCGAGCAACTCTTGTCGGAAATTCAAGCTCAGAGCGAGCGACTTCGAGTGCAGAATGAAGCGATTCGAGAGCTACTGGATTTGATTCGCCGCGACCATTAAAATCTAGCTACCCACGTTTTCTAGACTAGCTCAAAAGCTTCGGTAAAAGCCAAAATGGACTCACGTTTTCTCCAACCAACATCTCTTAGAACGCTCGCAGTCATCTCAGAGTTGTTCCCAGTTACAACAAAATCTTCCTCTTCATCGAAGTTCACCCGCGCGTCATCATCATCTTCGAAAGAAGTGTCATCCTTCAAACCCAACAAAATATTGTGGAGAACCATCGTTGCAGCCACAATATCCACAGCCTTCTCGACGCATTTGGTGTTAATGCAGCAGTTAACAATTCTGAAGCGACCTTTCCAGAGTCCAAAAGCACACTCGACTGTCATCCTAGTTCGGGAATGCAGATAATTGTAGCGTAGCTGCTTGCGTGTCAAACCGGCTCCATCATTTTCCATGAACGGCGTCATGATAGCCGGACTAATAGCATATCCTGCATATCCTAAAAAGTGGGTCCCCGTTGGCAAAAAAGTCTTTGAAGTTGGAGCCTAAAGTAGACGCACGCCATGTTTTTTTGTCAGACCACGAGCCCGGCCGAATCTCCACGCTAGTAAAGTGCATTTTGTCGTCAACAACAGCCTGCACATTTAGCGCTGGGAACATCTTTCGACAATAGTATCCCTCAAAGTCCTCGGGCCTGTTAATCTCCACTAGAGAGCCGTCTATCGCGCCTACCACTCCTGGAATTCCACCTTTCGCTTGGAATTTACCATGAACTCGGGTCCATTCATGAGCATGCAGCGGAAAATGAACGAACTTGCGCAGCGACCGGCGTAAAACCTTGAGAAATATACCGATCACGTCGATAGCCCAGGACTTCGAAATTGCAAACGCAGCCGTAGTTTCTCTATAGCCACCCTGCGAGCCGAGAAAAAAAAGAAAACAAGCAACCTTCTCCTCAAAAGAGTGCTCCTTCATAAATCGATCTAGCTCAAAATCTTTCAGCTCCTGACGCAGAACACCACAAAGCCGTAGAAACGTAGCTTGGCTACACCTGAGATTCTGTCGAAACCACTCGTCGTAGACCGCGTCGTAAAGCATAGCCTCAAACTCTAGCGGTGTCAGGGTAAGGATGTTCTGCTTTGGGATCGAAATTGCCCACACAGCGGTGTGGACCGCCGTCGCGAGAGCTCCTGTGGCCGCAGCAACTGCAGCAACTGCAGCAACGATGCTTTCGCTCTGCACCATCGAAACGCAGTGAAGACGCTCGTCTGCAAAGTGAGACTGGTGATTTAGTCGTCTCAGATTGGTCAGTCTGGAGACGATGAACCTAGCCGATCGAGCTAATAACTGGCCAATCAAACAGAAGAAAAAAATGTCGCCACATCGTCTAAGACGATCGAAAGCCGAGACGAGCGTTCCCCGACCAGGCCCTTAGGGGAAGTCAGAAACATAAAACAAAAATAGCAGTTCTCATTTTAACCCAAGAACATTATTTGGATCGTTTATTTAGATTAATCTATACTCGGAGGCCCGAGTATAATTAACTCTTATTTAAACTAGGCTACGCTTCCTCACATACACACGCACACGTGTAAGCTAAAGTAGTGGGCCAAAGTAGGCCCATTACACCTGGTAGCACTTTGTAGTCCGTCCAACGACCGACTACCTGAGTTCGTACGTCACCGCACGAACGAGGAGCTGAGAACCTTCCCATGGTTACAGAGTTGCCCATGGAAAGCTCCACTACGCCTGCAACTCACATTGCACGCGCTGACTGTCCCCACCTGTCGGATCCAGAGTGGGAGGCCCTCCAACGACTGTCAACAGTCATTGGTGAGGCGACTGTAGCTACGATGCTGCGTACGCTAACGCCGACAGAGCAACACGGTGTCGCTCTGGGTTTCATCCTGAAGGAGCAACGCGATGTTGCTGCTACTACCGCGGTGTCGTCCGGGACGACACCACGCGCGCAATCGCTAAAGCTCAATGTGAGTAACTATGTCGGAAGAGAGGGTGAACCTCTCCTCCGTTCGTATCATCGACCCGTTGTCGAAGGTTGCGTTCGCCATGTCATGTCTTGGCGGACGTGCAAGAAGTTGGGCGTATGGACGCCGACTCTCGGATCCTACGTGCTTTAGCACGTACGAGGGTTTCAAGGAATAGCTCATACAAGCGTTTGAGCCACCGCAAAACGAGTTCCGGTCGAGGGCGGAGTTCCTCGACCTGCAGAAGGGCAAGCATAATGTCCATGCTTACGCTCAGAGAGCACGGTACTTGGTCTCAAACATCGTGACCAATCCGATCGACGAGGAGACCAAGGTCGTCACGTTCATGAAGGGGCTGAGAGATGGGCCTGTGAAGACCTATCTCTTCCGTGAGTACCCGAGTACTCTCGAAGCTGCAATCACTCTTGCAATGCAGGAAGAGTTTAGCCTGCGGCAGGCTAAGCTGCATGCACATGCGCCAAGGCCACAGCCTCGCCCGATAGTGAGGACAGGAGGCCCAGAACCCATGGACCTCTCGAGCGCTGCAACTGCTGGACCCCAGCAGTCGCACGGAAACAATGTGCGATGCTACCGATGCGGTAGAATCGGTCACTTTGCTTGGGAGTGCACGGCCCCCGTGCGCCAGCAGGATGGCTATCGCGGCGGTGCCGGGCACCGTCGCAACCAAACAAAAAACGCTGGACGCCAGTAGGCGCGGGGCGCCCTACTCGTAATGCAGTTCCGCGTGTCGACCTTGGACACGCGACACTGAGGACTGCAGCCCCCAGTGAGGTTCATCTCACTGCAAGATCCAAGATGACAAGCCTGACCTTGTCATCCTGAACGTGAACTCGATGGGAGCAAGCGGCTCTCTCCGTGCTTTGGTAGATTCTGGCGCGTCGAAGAATTTTGTTCGACTGCGAAGTCTATCAAGGCTTGACTTCGAGGATTTAAAGATACCTCGAAGTATGTTGGAAGTGCGACTGGCAACGGGTGCCATCGTAAAGACCGAGTAGCGCATGGTACGCGTGCGCTTCACGTATGAAGATCAAGCATTTGTCAAGACCTTTATCGTCCTGGATCTGGACGATAAGTTTGACAGTGTATTGGGCATGCCGTGGCTTGCACGGCATGATCCGGTCATCGATTGGGACAGCGGAACAGTGAGCGATGGCCCTGTTGCCGCTACGCACGCACCGACAGGTGCGCGCGACTCCCCACTCGAGACAGCGCCTAATGCCGCTGTCCCAGAGCGCCCTGGGCGCGCGCGCAAGATCAGCTATCGTCGGCGTTACCGCCGACAGATAATGAAGGAAATGTGTTGACCTCGGAGGTCGACACCCGCTTTTCAGCGAATCAGGAAGAGTCTCCGACCTCAAGGGGCACGGATGACGCAGGCGAGTCACACGCCTCAGCCGTGGAGGCTGACGCGAATCTGATTGGATCAGGTCTGGCCAATAATAAGAGCCAATGTGACGTAACGCCGTCGACCCCGGGAGTCGATGGCTTGGGTGAATTTGATTCGTCGGCTCGGGGAGCCGACGCACCCTCCGTAATGGAGGGCTCCGCCAATAACAGGCGTCGAGGTAAAGATGGCGTGTCGGCTCCGGGAGCCGACGCTGCAGGCGGTGCGGACGGTTGCAAACGTCCCACACCGGAAAAACTTGCATGCTGTCGTGCAGCCGGGCTTGAAGTCGCTCGCCCGCGGGATGAACCCGCCGGCGGTACTAAAGAAGAACACCCGTCCACGGCTGGGCCTGGACGAGGTCAAGAACCAAGCGGAGCCGGGCCCCGCAAAACAAGAAGACGGCGCATGCGAAGATCGCTGCGCAAGTCTCGGCCTGGGGCCGAGACGCTACAAGGAATGTCTGCCGGGCAGACGGAGGCTGAGAAGCCGGACGTCGAGACGTTGAACGTCTTGACGCGTACCTGTGCCGGGTTCCGGTACAGGGAGATGACTCTCGCTAACCCTCCGACGCAAGCGTCGGAGTTGACTTCGCTTCCAGTCATGAGCTGGACGCACTTCGCGCGTGACTTGCATGATGGACGCATCGAGCAAATATGCATTCTCTCGGACGCCGAGAGAACGAAGAGCGAGAATGAAGAACTAAGGCAGTTCTTCATGGAGACCACCACTGAGAGCGAGGACACTCTCAGCGCGAAGACGAAGAAGGAGCGCTTTGAAGAGCAGAGCTGGGACTCGTTTTCAACGAGTCCCTACTACGAGATCTTACGGGAGTACGCGGACGTACTTCCGGAAGAGATTCCTGCGGAGCTTCCGCAGGATAAGGGCGTCCAGCACGAGATTGATCTCGTGCAGGGGACGAAGTACTGTGTCACGCGGCAGTGGCCACTGCCGCGAGAGCAGGTCAAGGCGATCGACGACTTCTTTGAGAGTCGTCGCAAAGCTGGACAAGTGCGGGAATTGAAATCCCCGCACAGTGCTCCGACGGTCTGTATCAAGAAGCCACAGGGCGGTTGGCGCATCGTTCATGCGTACAATAAGCTGAACGATGCGACGATACCGGCGCAGACACCGATACCGCGAAAAGATGTCATCATCGATTCGATGGCCAGGAGCACTATCTACAGTGCTCTTGATCTGCGCGATGGGTTCTATCAGATCCTCATGCGTGAGAGCGATATCCCTCTCACGGCTGTGAGCACGCCGATCGGCATGCTCTGGGAGTGGCTAGTGATGCCGCAGGGTCTGAAGAACGCCCCTGCGACCTTCAACAGGTGCGTGCCGCACTTGTTGCGCTCGGTGCGCGACTTCGCACCGAGCTACTTCGACGATGTGTTCGTCCACAGCCGGGCTGCGGACGGGATGAGCGATGTTGAGATGCACAAGGTGCATCTCCGGAAGCTGCTTGCGCTCATGCGCAAGCACAAGCTCCATTCGAACCTGAAGAAGTGCATCTTCGGGGCGAGCGAGATACCCGTGCTCGGGTGTCTCGTCGGGAAGAACGGTGTCCGCCCTGACCCTGAGAAGGTCAGAGTGATCAATGAGTGTCCGACGCCGTCGAACGTCAAGGAACTGCGGCAGTTCCTTGGCTTGGCCACGTACTGCAAGTACGTGAAGGACTACGCGGGCACTGTCACAGCTCCTGAAGAAGGACGCCGAGTGCGTTTGGACTGCTGAGTGTCAGCAGGCCTTCGATGCAGTCAAGCGGGGCTTGACTGAGGCGCCGATCTTGGCGGTGGCCGACCAAGATCGCCCATTCCACGTTGGGTGTGACGCATCCGACTTCGCAATCGGATGTGCGTTGATGCAGCACGATCACGAGGGCCGTGATCGTGTCGTCTACTACCAATCGCGTCAGCTGAAGCCAGCTGAGCGCAACTACCCGGTACATGACAAGGAACTCCTTGCCATGAAGTACGCACTCGCGAAGTTCCGAGTGTATCTACTCGGAAGCAAACCGTTCGTGGTCTATACGGACCACGCGTCACTACGGACGGCTGTGAAGGCGCCGCACATCTCGCAACGGATGGCGAGATGGCTCTCATTCTGCGCAGAGTATAACTTCCGGGTTGAGTACAAACCCGGAAGACTCAATGTGGTGGCCGACGCGCTCTCGCGTCGACCTGACTACGCCACGACTGATGCCGATGTCAATGCCATTGACGCCATGCGATCGAGCACCCCAACGTCGTCACTGTTGGACGACGTGAAGATCGCGTACGCGCACGACGCGGACGCGAAGCTCTTGCTGGCCTACGGCTCAGCGCCTTCTGACAAAGCTCCTCAGAAGTTGCCGAAGCATCTTCGTGCTCGTGCACCCGATAACGGTGTGCACGACGGGTTATTACTCTATAGTGCAGTCGACGACAACGCGGACCGCATTGTCGTGCCCAATGACCATGACCTGTGACTCAGGATCATGTACGAGTATCACGATGCACCGACTGCGGGGCATCCGGGCCGTGAGAAGACATACCTTCTTCTCACGCGAGACTTCTACTGGGCCCACCAGTGCAAATGGGTGCGCAAGTACGTCCGTGCTTGCGAGGTATGTCAACGTGTGAAGCCTGCGCCTTTCGCGCAGGCTCCCTTGCAGTCACTGCCGACTCCATCGGAGTGTTGGCAGTCCATGTCTTTGGAGTTCGTGTTCGGTCTTCCCCCGGACAGCCAGGGGAACACGGGCGTTGTGGTCTTTGCTGACCGCTTCAGCAAGATGGTACATCTTGCTGCGGTACCCGCTGAAGTGACTGCGAAGAAGACGGCGCGTCTGTTCGTTGACATGGTGTTCAAACACCATGGCATGCCGATCGACATTGTGTCGGATCGAGACCCGCGCTTCACTGCACACCTTTGGCAAGAAGTATGGGAGTCAACTTTCGATGTCGACTGCGGACCATCCGCAGACGGACGGGCAGACCGAGCGCGTGAACCGCGTGCTCGTAGACGTGCTTAAGAGCTACGCTTACTCGTTCCAACACTGGAGCGAGTGCCTGCCGATGGCGGAGTTCGCCATCAACAACTCGGTGCATGCCTCGACCGGGCATACACCGTTCTACATGAATGCCATCAGGCATCCACGCCTCCCGAGTCTACTCGGGATGGTGGCTCCTTCTTTAAGTGGGGGAGGATCTACGACTGCAACGCACCAGCTGCAGAATGCCGCTGACACTTGCACAGTGTCAGCCGCGACTACGCGCAAGAAGAACAAGAAGCACGCGTCTGTGCAGGGCACAGACACCGCGAAGACGAACGCAGAGGCCGGACTTACTGCTAGAAACGAGCTGAACGAGTTCAGCTCGGGCGCAATCAACTTCGTGCAGCGCAGACAAGCCGTCATTCGGTTTGTCCAAGACGCTATCGCAGCTTCTGTCGACCGACAGAAGCTGAACGCAGACAATGTTGGTAGGGGCAACACTAATGAATTCAAGAAGGGTTCATTGGTTTTGTTAGCAACTCATAACCTGCCTAAACATGCAGTTTCCGACTTCGGGGCGAGCAAGCTCGCTCCGCGCTTCATCAGGCCGTTCACGGTGTTGGCACGGCATGGCAACGCCTACACGCTAGATATTCCATCTAGCATGCGCCTCCATCCGACCTTCTACGTCGGGCGGCTGAAGCCATACCTGCAGCACGAGCCACCTAGCTCGGCTGGCCCGAAGCGGAAGCCCCAGCGGGAGCGAACCTCTGCTTCAGTGCGTGAAGGCGCTGGGGCAAGCGTGCGACGCGACCTCCCACGTCGACAGAGATGTCCGACGCGGTCTGCGAGGCCTGAGCGACTTGAGCCCTCAGGATCGCCACCTCCTGCTTCAGAGCGGCGAACTCCCGGCTCTGATGCTGTTCCACAGCAGCGACCCGCTCCTCGAGCGTCGGGCCAAGGTCAACCCCAGGTTGACCATACCCGGGGCGTGTTCCCACCACCGCCGCCTCCGATCCGCGACGCCCGCGGCTCGACACGCTGGATTGTTGAGCGTATTGTGAACCATAGTATCCCGAAAACGAACCGGCAGCCGGTTCTTTATCGTATTCGTTGGAGAGGGTTTCCGCCCCACCAAGATACATGGGAGCCACGGGACGTCCTGCTGCAGGACGTTCGGGAATTGGTGAGGGCGTACGAAGCTCACCACGCACTGCCGACGCGAAGGTAGTGCGAGCGCTGCGGTCACCTACAGCGCCCGAGGTCCCACGATCGTCGCGTTCCTCACGTGCCAAGAACTTGGCACGGCGATCCTTGAGACTCGCAGTTACACGAATCGTCGTGTACCCGTTTAGGTCGCGGTCGCTCAAGCGCGCCGCACCCGGAAGACACAACGTGCAGCGCATGGAATACCAGCGTCCACAGAGGATCTGTGGAGCTGCTCCAGCCGCCCGCGCGTCGAGAATGTCTCGAAGCGCTCACGGGCATGCTTAACCCGCTCGCGGTAAGCAGCCGGTTTCTTGTTGAAGTTCTCAACAAAAGCATTCTAAGACAAAGTGCCTGCCACTCAGGCACTTTGCTGCGAGAAGAGGTCTTCTTGCTGGAGAAGTACCGGAGCTTGTGAAAGAGCCCAATGTAGTAGTCGCGCCTTTGATTCGTTAACGGATCAAGGTGCTGCTCCTCCGCAACAGCATCGTCGTAGATACCGCTGCATACGTACAGCGGGATTTCGTTTGGAGGCACAGTGTTGCCCATGTCGTAATGCGGGTTGAAGGATTGTGAGGCGATGGACCCGGAGGTTACCCGAAGGTGACCCGAGAGTGAGCCACTTGAATTATGGGACACCCTAGCTCGGTGTCCCGTATAGAAGGCCGGCGACTGATTACGAAACCCGATGGCGTATTTACGGAGATCCAGAACGGGGATGCCCGTAACAAGGACGATGACACCGCACGGAGACAGCAGATGACGTCATGAGGTAAAGGCGTGCAGCATACTGGTTGGTTGGTTGGCCGGCAGACGAGCCGCCCGTAGATAGGCAGTTCAGTTCAGAATTTCCAACAACGAGACAAGGTACTTCTTCATATTAGTCTTTGTGTTGTGCGGTTAGCGCCTACGTGTGTACTGTGACTGTTTCCTACCTACTTGCGAAGTGTACTCGGGGTTCTGGATTGATTTGGCCTCCCCGGTAACCTTCTAGTAGCGTAGTGTGTTGCATTGTCTGGACTCAGGAGATCAGCGCTCAGTGTTCGACAGTAGGACACTCTAAACGGTTTAGTAAGGTATTGGTGTGCGTCTCGCACTTTGGTTTGGACCCGCAGACTAGCTGCGGCAGGAGATCTCCAGTAGATCTCGTATATATTGTACAACAAGTTGTTGTACAGTGGGAAGCGTTACCTCGCTGTACAAGTGCATCCGCGACAGAGTTAACCTAAGTCTCTGCCTGCAAGTGTAAGGAACCCCATATTCACCCCTTCATATTACACGTCTTCTAGGAATTACGCTAGATAAAGATCCGAGTCTTGCTACAAGGGTACACAAGGTGAGGCCTAGAGATCTCGGGACTAGTTCTCGTTGTCTTTGGGTATTTGGCTTGCAGGGGTAACCCCCCCCCCCGTAGTTGCGTGGCAGGACACGTGTGGGAGTTTATTAGTTTTTATCAGAGGGACTCCACCATACCCACATGGTCTGCGATCTCTGACGCAGACGGCGTCCACGGATCGCGCGCTGCCTGAGCAGCGCGCGTACAACTTGAAGGCACCACCTCACGCGGGGAGCTTAAAGCCCCAGCAGCAGAGAGCGGAGTGTCGCTCTCGCCGCGCGAACGCTTCGAGCTCGAAGCGTCCGAATCGTCTCCTTCACGAGGGCGTCTCGACCCGGCATGCCGGGTCGAGACTATCGCTGTCGATAGACTCCTTGCGCTTGCTGGAAGAGGCCTCGCCCTCTTCCACCTCCACGTCGTCGTCTTCGTCGTCGACGGCGTCGCTGACTACAGAAGAACCTTCGAGGACAATCTCTGGTTGAGTTGTCCCCGCCGTAGCCGTGGTAGCAAGAGCGTCACGCTTTGCTTTGAGACTCGGGGATAGAGAGAGTCTCTATCCCGGCGGAGGACTTCCCCTCTGCTGCAGCGTCAGTCTTCTTCTGAGGCGAGCTCATTGCGGAATGAGCTCGAGTTTTCTTTCTCCCAACGTGAAGAATTGACGAATGGTCAATTTCCTGATTGACGTGCCGTGACTCGGCGCGTCTAACCTTGAGGGGGGGGGGATGGTGTAACAGGGTTACACGCACAAGTGGCTACCGTCACTTGTAACGCTAACAGATACGACGTCTGTTAGAGGTTCGAAAGACTTTCTCGACCTTGGTGTAGACACACCAAATGCTATATACATTTACGACCATCACGACGGGTGGTCCATAGCGACTTAGGATTCCTATTGGCTGAGACCAGCATCTCTTAGCCAATGAGCGACATGCATAGCATTGGAATTCTGCCAACCAGCCGTTGGCAGATTCTTATCGTAGAATATTACATTTAGAGGAAGTCAGAAACATAAAACAAAAATAGCAGTTCTCATTTTAACCCAAAAACATTATTTGGATCGTTTATTTAGATTAATCTATACTCGGAGGCCCGAGTATAATTAACTCTTATTTAAACTAGGCTACGCTTCCTCACATACAAGCCACACGTGTAAACTAAAGTAGTGGGCCAAAGTAGGCCCATTACATCTTGCGTATCAAGGCAGACTGAGGTCGCCCCAGGGACTGGTGTGGCGGGTGCCTAATGTGCTGGCGCTGGCCGAGACGTTCGTGGCCTCGAGCGCGCACTTGTTCTTGCTGCTGGTCGGACCTTGCTTCGTTCGATCTTGCTTCGACGCGGCAGAAGACGGAATGAACTACTCTGAAACTACCGACCTCACTAACACTACCGAGAATGTACCCTTGCACCCAGGGGAGTTGCCTCGCAACCGACGAGAAGGACAAAAACACCCTCCGGTGAGGCCGTCGGCAGCGCCGTGGAACTAATCTTGGACAGCGGTTTCGTGGACACCGCAGTCGAGCTCCTCAGCCGCTGCCTGCACGCTTTCCTTATGTACTCGATCGTCAGCGTCATGGACATGGACGAGCTTGCCACGGCGAACCCGAAAAACACGTTTCCTTCTCGCTGCACTCGCCGGAAACTTCGCATTGCACTGAGTCAGCCTGTGCACAAGTGGGGGGATGAGCGTCCACATAGTTGCCTATTTCATCAGCACAGCGAATGTGGTTCGGAGAATGCTGGATGGTGCGCTGTTTTCCACCCTGGTGGACACCAACGTGGCGCAGGTTGAGTTGGGATCGTTGTCCAGCTTCGTGCGCAGATTACGGAGCGCGAGTGACAGATTGCCGGACGGGAAGTAGGTCTTATACTCGCTGTCTAGGGCGCAGAGCCCTAGGAAATATTCATCGACTTCACCCCGTCGAGATCCCACTTCGAAAAATACTGAAAGTTGTCAGGAGATGTCCCCGCAGTTGTCGCAAGGTCATCAAGGATGTATCCCTTGACGCTGACTGGATTGAGATGCATGAGGCGTCCAAGCAATGCGGTACCGTAGCTCTCTCCGCACATGAACGAGCTCCCTCCAGTCGAGTGCTGGGCAATACATGAGGCGATATCCGACGCAGCACTGGTTACCGAGAACGCGACGAGGTCTCCGAACTTGGTGTGCAAGTCTTTCGCGCAGAACGGAACTTCCGATGTGTCAAGAGCACCCCCCCCCCCCCCCCCCCCGCGACGGAGACCCAGACGTCGTCGCATGCGACGCGACGCACTCGAATGGGGTGCTGCGGCCAGTGCCGCGATGACCCATGGTGTACACGGTGACTATCCCCTGCAGGCGCTCGTGAAGTTCCCTCATCATCTCCTCCACTGAGAAAACAAAACAGCAATATGGCATTAGCGTCAATATGTTACGGGGGAGCTATCTCTAGACGAAAAGAATGAGCAAACTTACTGATAACGGAGGTGTCGCCCGGTCCACCGGGAATTATCCAAGCATTCGAAGCCGTCGCGGGATTTCCAGACGAGGCAGGAATGGACTTCACGAAAATGTCAACATTTCGGACGCGCCGTCTTGGGTGCCACACAGATATCAGGGTAAAACAACGGGGCGGGGTACATCGCGCACTCGGCATCTTCAGATTCTAGCCGCTCTCCGGTGGTTGTGTTCGAGAAGGTGATCTCAGAGCACGGATGCCACCCGTTTAGCGGGCGTTTCGTAGCATTCGTTGCCTCGGCAATCTGCACGGACACGCAGAAAACCGCGAGGGCTCGGTAGAGCAGCGTATTGCTTCGAGAATATGTGGTTCGTCGCACTGCTGTAGGAGATGGTCGGTTGAGGGATATTTGAGAAATGCGGGACAACATCGACCAAAGTCGGGAGCTGTAGTGTAGATGGCCACCAATCGATTCAACTCTCTGCTTACCCCTGTACATTCTGCGGTGGAGTCATCAGTCTGCAAGTAAACTACCTTATTGGAATTTCTGTGGTCTAGTTTACGTTTACAGTACGTGTTAGTATCAAACTGGCTGTAGGCGTCAGCTGTTCAACGTGCTGGTGGCATTACCGAATTACCTATATTATGCCATACACTTCAGCGAACTCTATCGAGTCGATATTTCGGTGCCCTGGCTAGCCAAGCAAATTCATAGAAAACGCGTTTCAATACAAATATCAAGTGAGTCATCATAAAAAAATGGCAGTGCACACCAATCTTTCCGAAAGGCCTGTGATCGGTCAATTAGGGGGTGTATGACATAACATATAGAAGGTGATATCATAGGTAATCAGTACTGAACATGTTCTGTAGAATAAAAGGAAATTAACAATTGTATTTCTTTTTATTCTACTGTAAGTGTAATATTATTTGAAGTTTGAAACGCCTTGCGATCATCATTTGGTGGATACGATTTTTTTTCTGTGCATACAGTAAGACAAAGCACATGCAAAAGGATCACCGTCGAGTTGCCGTGACTCACATCTTCCTTTGAGTCGAGGAACGCAGCATGTGTTGCGGTCAGTACTGTATCTACGGTTAGAAAATACACCTGGATGTTGTTACACTCTATATCTATAACGCGATCATCAATCCGTGAGTGAGTACGTCTTCCGAATCTTTTAATTATTGTAAAATCGGCATTTTTGCCCCTGGGGCACTGCGTTAGTACCCCTTCGAGTGATCAGGGATCGAAAAATAGGATTGTTGGTGAGATCGCCGTCTCAATCAATATTGTAACAATACCAATATCCTGCTCTCTGAAATTTATTTCAGAGTCTACCGGTGATACCATTTTCCGTGCTGTTTTAATATACAGCTTACCCGGGCCCACGGATCACTTATATTATATTATGTTTTATGGTATTGTGCTTTGCAGTTATTTTGCGGACCATTTTAGACGCAAAATATGGCAAAGCCTGCTCCTAAATATGTGTGAAAGAAGATACACGACCTGCTACAATTATGCATAAATCCACCTCCTCATATATATATCGACTTGGAAGGGCCTGTCAGCAGCCATGCATTGGCCCAGTACACCACCGTCCATGATCCCCAGCACACCCACCCTCTTATGCATAATTACCGTGTGTGTAGGTGCTTGTGGATAAAAACCGACAGAATTGCAGCTGAACAGCCACAATTGCACTTTTGAAAGTGCAATTGTGGCGCTTTTAAGGCCTCCACCCATTTATGCACCTCGATTTATCGTAAATCTAGCAGTGGTCGCTATAAATACAGCAAATCTCGCCTCATATTGCCAAAATCATTGCAAAGCACAATATTTGTATTATAATAATACTTGTGTTTGTAGTACTACACATGTATTGGCAAAACGTTCCAAAAAATATTATAAATTAACGCAATATACTTACATAAAGTTAAATGGAGGGGTACTAATTTAATTCTCCATTAATTTTGATTAGATATGACGGGTGGAGCTCAATATAGGGTGGGATACAATTACCGATTTTACAGTACAATCCCAGAGCGTCAGCTGTCCGGCACCGATGGTACTTATCCAAACAAGAGACACCACTTAGTGAGCATTTCAACGCGCCAGCTGGGCGGCGCTATCAGCTTCGTCCCGTAGTGTACACCCTGAATGATCTTGACGCGCTGGACCCGCTGACTACGTCTTTTTTAATGAAGTCCTGGGAAAAACTCAGTGTAATGTACGTACTGTTATTGCGTGTTACTTCGGTAAGGGTTACTACCTTACGAGTGAGAGGGTAGACCGTAAAAAAAGAAAAACGAGGCAGCGCAAATCTAACGCAATCAACAGCATTTTCGAATTCACGGAGTAGCAGATGGTCGTGGATGCTACGATAGTGTTAGAACAGATCTAACGCAATCTGAATCTCACACCATTGCACTAAGTAATCCGACGAGTTGCGTGAGTCTTTATCATCAAAACACTCTGGCCAGTAGGCAGAATAGATATTTGAACAAGTTTTTTTTTTTAACTACACACCGTCAAGTTGTGGTCGATGTATCGAACTTGAGCACCGTGGGTGTTCGTAGCCGTCGATCAACAACGGCATGTACAGTTATACAACTTGAACGTACTGTACAGTACAGTACCGGTAGCGTAAAACAAATCGAGTTTTAAGAGATGACCTATAGCGCGATAATACAATTTCGCAACTAGATCGTTGCTAATGGTTTTGCATACAGTCCACATGACACATTGATGACTCCATGGCAGAGTATACAGAGTGTACAATGAAAAGAAAGAGTGCAGTGGTGATCATCAATAGCTCGAGCTTGGTCGATGCTATCCCGCATTCCTGAAACTTCCAGCCACCAATCATCTCTTTCTGCTGAGCGACCGGACAACATGCTGTTCTACCGGGCCCTCGCAGTCGTTGTACTCTGCGCGTCCGTGCATACTACCGCCGCAACGAATGCTACGAAGCGTCCACTCAACGGGTGGTATCCGTGCTCTGAGCTCACATTCGCAGACCCAAGAACAGGAGAGCGCCTAGAAACTCAAGACGCCGAGTGCGCGATCTACTCCGCCCGATTGTGCTACCCTGGGATCTGCGTGCCCCCGGCGACGGTGGATCCGACAGTCGACTTTTTTGTGAAGCGCATCCCTGCTACTGCTGGGAACGCTGCGACAGCTTCGAAGACTTGGTTCTTTTCCGGTGGACCCGGCTTATCCTCCGGGAACAGTAAGTATTAACCGAAATAGTTTTTTTTCTCGGTATTTCCTGCACAAGAGGAGAAAGCCACGTTGCCACAACTGGAGCCCAGTCATGGTTCGCGCTCAGCTGCATCAAGTTCAGCGACCCGCTCATGCTGGAGAGCCCCATGGCTATGATTTGGATAGACTGTCAGATAAGCGGTTTTCACCCGGGGGTCCGAGGAACCTTCGGTTCTGAGGGCCCAGCGGTTTTTGCTCCGCCACATCGCACAGAGTAGTTATAGATAGGTAGTCGTTCTTGATCGTCTCGGCCGGCCAGTCGCGCTTTCACCTGCTCGGACACAGCTGCATTCCGACGGCCAAGACACCAGCGCTGCGGCCCGACCAATCGCCCGCGCTTTGATTCGACACCCACCACACCACTCCCTAGGCTGCCTCATCTCGGCTCATTACATGACCCTCACCGAGGCCCGCCTCATTAATCAAGAACGACCACCTTTGCCCCCAGCGTGCTTTCGTATCGCAGGAAGGAAAAGGTCTAAAATGGTGATTCTGTTTATTTTGCAGTGGAGAAAAGGATGAGAGAAATCCACGAGGGTGCGGTCAATGTCTACAGCTTGGACCACCGTGGCACTGGACGTAGTACCCCCTTCAACTGCGTGGCCTCGCAAGCAACGACGTCTGGATCTCCGTGGGGCAGCGCTCTCGAACTGTCTGACGTTCCTTACTGTGCAAAGGACTTGCACACCTAGTTCGGGATCTCGCTTCGTCCTCTATCACCAGTGCAGCATCGGATATCGCGTCTTCATCTCCGAGTACTCCAATGGAGCGAGCATGGAGAGAGCTACGGCACTGCATTGATCGAGCGGCTCATGCACCTTAACCCGGTCAGTGTGAAGGGCTACATCCTCGATGGCGTGGCGACAACCTCCGGGGCATCTTTGGACAAGTTTGAGTATTATTCGAAGCGGGATGCCGATTTGGGAGAAGTGGGCGAGTACTTCATGGGGCTGTGTGCTCTCGACGGCGCGTGTAAAGCTCATTTCCCGTCGGGTAATCTGTCGTCGGCACTCCGTGATCTGCTGACGACATTGGACACCAACCTCAACTCAACGTGCTCGACGTTAATTTCCGTCGGGGAGGATAGCAACATCCCGTCCGACACGCTCAAACCGATTTTGGCCACGCTGCTGAGAGAGGCGGGTACATGGACGCTCTTCCCGCCAGTCGTGTACAAGCTGAGTCGCTGCAATGAGAACGACGTCAATGTCCTGAACCAATTCTTTACCTTCTACGCTTCATACACTACGTACCCTTCTAACACCGAAAGCATACCCTTGGCGCGTCTGCTTAACAGCCTCATCATGTTCTCCGAGATGTGGGAGGCACCGACGCCTTCCAACGACGACCTGTACGCACGGTTCGCGAACGCAAGTATCACTAGCGGAGATATGAATGGCGAGGCTACGACGTATTGCGCCTTCTCGAAGGAGAAATCGGCGGTGTGCAATGAGATTAATGGGGAGCTCAATGTCGGCAACTACGACGGCGACGGGATTATTTACAAGCGCGATCGATATTGGAGCAAGGCGGCGACGCTGTCAGTGTGCTGCTGATGAACGGAAAGCTGGACCAGCAGACCCCGTACAAGTATGCAGTCCTTTTTCAAGGCGCTCGGCACGACCAAGAAAGAACTCATCACTTTTACTACGCGGTCCACCACATCGTGCGCACCCCCCCCCAATGACCCCGACCTAACCTGCGGAATGACGCTATTGGTGTCGTACATCACCAATAATGGCGACCTTAAGCGCCTCGACAGATCGTGCGTGAGCCAAATGCCCAAATTCAACCTCACGGTGCCACCGGCATACCTCAGCAACTTCATGAAAACCGACGATGCATACGACGGTATCTACCAAGCGGGTTCGAGCTCCAACTAGACACCAGGGCATGTCGAGTTCTCTTAAAAAGCGGTCAGGCGAGTGTCAGAGCGTTCTAAAGACAAATGTTGGGACCGCAACCGCGGCGTTAGGCAGTGAGCAAAACATGACTCACGCACGACCTTGAATTAATGAAATTGTGTTGAGAGGACAAGATAGCGAACCAGTCCATGCAATTTTCAACCGTAGCAGGACGTCGGTAGCATCCTGAAGTGAAACCAGTTGTTAAGAAATAGGCCCAGGATCAACATCTCTTTATTATGGCTGCGAGCTTAGGATCGGGGCAATCTACTGCTTGGACACGCCGTAGTCGGCGCGGTAAGCGCGGATGACCGGCAGGTACGAGGCGTTGGCGTCGGAGGCCACGTCCACGGTCTCGAGGTAGCCCACGAGGTTGTCGAGCGTGGCGATGCTGACCACGGGGATGCCGAACGTTTCTCTCACCTGGTCAATGGCCGAGCGCGTGTCCTCGATCGACACCTTCTCCTGACGGTCCAGGGAGATGCAGACGCCCGAGACATGCGCGTTGGTCTTCTCAAGAATAGCGAAGGCCTCGCGGATGGCAGTGCCGGCGGTGATCACGTCGTCGATGATGAGGACCCTGTCGAATGTAACACATGCATAGGTCAGTGGACACGCCCAACTGATGTCAACGACTAGCTGAACCAAACAGCCACGTACTTCTTGCCGGTCATGTCGGCGCCGACGAGCACGCCGCCCTCGCCGTGGTCCTTGGCCTCCTTGCGGTTGTAGGCGAAGGGAATGTCCACGCCGTACATGTCAGCGTAGGCAATGGCGACCGCGGCCGCAAGCGTGATGCCCTTGTAGGCCGGACCGAACAGCACGTCGAACTCCACGCCGCTGTCCTGTAGAGTTGAATTGAAGCACGCGAAATAAAAATCAACGGTAGTAACAAATCCCCCGTCACACCAACTTATCCCACGGTCAGTCATCAATCAACACGTACGTGGATCGCCTGCGCGTAGAACTTGCCGAGCTGGCCGAGCGCGCGGCCCGTGCGGAACAGTCCGGCGTTGAAGAAGTACGGGCTCTTGCGGCCAGACTTGAGCGTGAAGTCGCCGAACTTGAGCACGCCGAACGACAGCGCGAACTTGATGAACTCGTTGGCGCTCGACTTGGCCACCACAGCAGCTCCCACCTTGCTCTTGCGCACAGCATTGATAGCGTCGCGCAGCTCCTCCGCCGCCTGCTTGGGCTCCGCAGCCTTGGAAATGCCGCGCGACACGGGCACCAGCAGGCCCATGCCGTCCGCCGACAGTCCGGCGCTCACGGCCTCCTCCAGGTTGCCGCCCTGCGCGCCGATGCCCGGCGCGAGGATCCAGAGGTTGGGCGTGACGGCGCGCACGCGGCGCAGCGCGTCCACGTCCGTGGCGCCCACCACCAGGCCCACGTTGTCCTCGGCGTTCCACTGCTCGCACTTGAGCGCGACTTCCTCGAACAGCGCGCGGCCGCTGGAGCCCGCGGGCAGCGTCTGGAAGTCGTCGGCGCTCGGGTTGGACGTCTTGCACAGCACGAAGCAGCCGCGCTCGGGGCGCGCGCGCACGAACGGGTCGATCGAGTCCGCACCCATGTAGGGCGCGAGCGTGATGGCGTGCGCCTGCAGCACGTCGAAGGCCGAGACGGCGTAGGCGGCCGCCGTGGTGCTGATATCGCCGCGCTTGGCGTCCAGCAGCACGGGGATGCCCTGCGGGATGGCCTGGATCACCGCGTGCAGCGCCATGACGCCCTCGGCCCCGAAGGCCTCGAAGAAGGCCGAGTTGGGCTTGTACATGGCCGCCACGTGCTGCGTCTGCTCGATCAGGCGCAGGCAGAAGGCCTGCGCGGCCGCGGCCGTGGGCTCCGGAAGCTCGGCGACGTGCGGGTCCAGCCCTACGCACAGCAGGGAGTCCACTTGGGCCACGCGCGCGCGCACGGAGGCGAAGAAGCTGTTCGTCATCGTAGTCGTCGGGTCGGGTCGATTAGGAGGTGAGCCACGTTTGGCTGGGCTAGAGCTGTTTGGAGATGTGCGGGTTGTGATTGGCTGGAGGATGGCGAGATGGAGGGTTGCGATTGGATGAAAACAAGAAGTCGAAGTTGAGGCCGGCTAGCAGGGATTTTGCCCTCTCTATTTCAGACTCGACATCAGGCGATGGCGTGGTAAGAATGAGCGACTGCAGGATGGTGCGTACATGTATTTTATTTAATAATACAACATCCATTATAGTTGAAGCAGTGGCTGCAAAGTCATCACAGCGCGCGTGAGTGCGCCGTACCGTATGCAGTATATACGTGCAGAGCAAGCCGAGTGTTGTACGCAGGGCTTCGCATCAACCACTGTATCGAGGGTGATACATACTAGATGAAGGAATGCAGATGAGTGTATTAATATCAGATGAATACTGCTGATGCTGTATGTGATACTGTGGATTCGGCAAGATCGCCGCTAAGTGCTGGCGTTCCAACAGCAATCTGTACTCCTTCCAGTTTGCTTTCATAAAGCACAGCATCTCTGCGCGTTTGTCGTCAAGGCTCGTGCGGAGATCGTTAACGATGTATCCAGCTATACTGAAGAATCTCTCCTGCGGTGCAGTGGACATGGGCTTACCGAGATAGATTCGGGCGAGGAGAGCAACCGAAGGGAAGTCCCTTTCTCCAGTCTCTTTAAACCATTGCAAGATATCGATGTCTTGGTACAACTGTAGGACGTTGTAAGCTTAGCTACCGTTGTTAGGTTGGCAGGGCCATGTCACCGATAACTCCTCCCACTCCTCCCAGACCTTCAAGGCTGCTTTTGAGCCTGTTCTGCTGTTTTCGATACTTCGGGCGGATGGAACTTCGACTTCTAGCAGCAAGCGAAGCGCCGAACTCACCCCTTGATCAGCACTGAAGCACTGGCGCTCGAACACATCACTGGGCCCGGACTGACGGATTCCTTCGAAACTTTGAGACTTTTGATCGAGTTTCTTAAACATCATCTCATGCTCCTGTCGTAACTCGCGTTTGACACGTTCAAGTACTTCTGGATCATCAACTACCAGCGACGCCTTTGCTTTGATTCTCGGGTCCAGTTGTAACGGGCTAACTGCAGCCCGTTACGTGGTAACACAAGCAGAGGAAGTAGTAGGCAAATTGAACTCTGGTATTAAGTGCCGAGACGGTCTCGGCACTCGACACCGTCCCAGCCATTAAACCTATGGTGGGCTCTGATTGGCCACCGCACACACACGGTGGCGACTGTGTGACAGTGGCCTGTCACACCACCCCCTACTCAAGATTGGAACATACACATATCTAAACTCCAGAAAGGAACTGCAGGGCTTCGCGAGGCGGACGTGATGCTACTTGGCAAGCGCGTGCCGACAGCGCGCGCGAAGTGAGTAAAGCAGCGCAGCAGTGTCTCGGACGTCATCAAGGGCCGGCTGCAGCGCGACCGCAGCAGCAGCGTGGGCTTCAACGGAGCGATCTTGGTGCAGCGGGTCTGGCGCTGGCGTGGCATGAAGCGAGTCCGTCGCGGTGGTACGCACCGTGACTCCACCGTGGGTCAGGTCGCCGCGGATCCTGGAACACCGAAGGTCGTCCGTCGTCTGAAGTCGAGCATCGCCGCTGGGCAGTCCGTTCTTGCGAGACTCTCGTTGAGTTAGGCACGGCTCGCCGCCACGCAGTCGGGGACATCTGCGAGTACGACCTCGCGTGGCTCCCAGCTGTCGTCCATCGGGCCAAGCCATCGAACCAGATACCGGCGGTGCGAAGGTATCTCTCCCTCGCGGCGACGAGTGCCGCGATCCATGCGTGCGCGCTGCGGTGCATCTCGGTGGTCGTCGTGGTTGAGAATGGCTTCGACAATGTGACGCTGGTTCCCAGCAGCGTCCACTAGGGGAGCAGGACGGTCGCGCTGGAATGCAGATGCGCGAACCTCGGGCTGACGCTGCGATGGCGCAGCGTCTTGATCGACTTGGGCATGTTCATCGGCGCCACCGGGAATGGCGGCGGGATGGTATCGTCGCAGTCGGCCAACTTAGAACGTAGGGTGCAGCCGGAGTGCCGTAGGGAGCTGCAGCGTGTAGGCGTCGCCGAGTACCTTCGTCACTTTAATAGGTCCAATAAATCTCGTTCGCGCCCAAGTCCGTCACCAAACTTGGCGACATGCCCGTCGTAGAGAGCAGTACCTGATCGCCCACGGCGAACGTCTCCAGATGTCGTCGCCCTCGTCGATCGGCATATTCCTTTTGCCGGTCCACCGCCGCCGCGATGGTGTCGCGTACATAACGCACAACCGACTCACGTTTCTGCAGGAAGTCGCGGACAGCCGCAGTGTCTTGGGGCTGCGTCGCTGGGAGCGGATCGAAGTTGGCAGGAACCGGCGCGGCAGGTGTCGCCGCCTCTTGCGCGTCTTGATAATCGACGACCCGACGTGATATCGGGTCAATCAGCGTGCGCGAAGTCCAAGCTGCGATGTCCGAAGGTGCCGCCCTCCTAGCGGCACGTGTGCGCGAAGCTCGTTCGGGGTTGGCGCGTGGTCTCTCGTGTGCCGCCCGCGTGGCGGCAAGTGTGCGTACTTCGACTGCTGGAGCGTTAGAGCCTCGACGAGTGGTGACGCCATGTAACAACGCGGAGACAGCATCGGGTACGGGGCCACGACGCTCAGCCTGGCCTGGGTCGGGGTCTACAGCAATGTCTTCATCCGGAACGAGTGACGCGAGATCGCCCGCGTCTTCAGCAGCGCGACCAGCCGGAGTCTCAGAGCGCTCCACACCAAGGAGCGCTGGAACGAGAGGATGGCGACCGAAGTTGACGAAGAACGGGGACAGCCCGGTCGATGCGTGGACAGCGTTGTTGAGAGCGAATTCGACCAGGGGCAGGAAGGTGCTCCACGACTTGAACGACGTAGCGAAGCTGCGTAGTATGTCTTCAACAATACGGTTGGCGCGCTCAGTGGCCGTCTGTCTCCGGGTGCGACACGGTGGACATGCACAACCGCGTCCCCAGCAACTGAAAAAGCTCTCGCCAGAAAGCAGACGTAAAGCGAGGGTCGCGATCCGATACGATGGAGGACGGAAGCCCGTGGTGACGGTACACCACGTCCACGAAGATCGCGGCGGTTTGCTTCGCCGTGATGCTGGCAGCAACAGGAGCAAGATGGAGCATCTTGCTGAACCGATCAACGAAGACAAGCACGTCAGTGCGCCCTTGAGTGTCTCGGGACAGCCCGAAGACGAAGTCCATGCTGACAGACGCCCATGCGTCTGTGGCGACTGGGAGAGATCGAAGCGGAGCCTGCTTGGACGGATTCGGCGTCACGCGTTGACACGCTTCGCAGGAGCGTACCCATTTCCGGACCCACTTGTACATATGCGGCCAGTAGAAGTCTCTGGACAGCGACGCGAACGTCTTCTCGCGTCCGAGGTGGCCACCGCTCGGCGTGTCATGGAACTCGTGGATCTGCCGAGCTCGGAGATCGTCGTCCAGAGGAACGACGATGCGCGGGGATCTTCACGGTCGACGCGGTACATGAGCAACTCGCCGTCCAGCGAGTAGCGGTCGACACGGGAGCGGCTGCGTTGAGACAGCTTGCGCTTCGCCACGGCACCAGGGTCTCGCAGGAACTGGATCAGCTCCAAGCAGGACGCGTCCTCCTTGTACGCGTCTACGATCAAGCCACGGAGCGGACTGGTCGCTGCAACCTCAACAGCAGCGACGTCTTCGGCAGTGCATACGGCGCATTCGTCGTCGTCCTCGTCGCCAACTGCGTGGCGACCTGACTGCACGTAGTCTTCCCCGGCTTGTAGTGCACGACGAAGTTGTACTCGGAGAACAGGGACAACCAGCGCGCCATGCGCTGGGACAAGTGGGGGCTCTTCGTCACTGTCCTCAACGATGCGTGATCGGTGTAGATCGCGAAGGTCTGTTCGCCGAGGAGATACACGCGGAACTTGATGAGGGCGTAGCGCATGGCCAGCAGCTCCTTATCATGGACCGGATAATTCCGTTCCGCCGGCTTCAGCTGACGCGACTGGTAGCTGATGACCCGCTCGCGTCCTTCGTCATCGAACTGCACCAACACGCATCCGATCGCGAAGTCGCTCGCGTCGCACTCGACATGGAAGGGCTTCGCGTGGTCTGGAAGCAAGAGCACAGGCGCGGTGGACAAGCTCAACTTCACCGCGTCGAAGGCGGCTTGGTGCTCGGGACGCCACGACCACGTGGCGTCTGCCTTGAGGAGTTGAGATAGCGGGCGGATCGTCGAAGCGAAGTTCTTCGAGTAATGGTGAAGATACGTGGCGAGCCCCAGCCACTGCCGGAGCTGCTTCTGGTCCTGCTGCGTCGGCCACGCGCAGATTGCCTCGATCTTCTCGGGGTCGGCGCGGACACCGTCCTTGCTGACGTAGCTCCCGAGCACAGGGATCTCGGGAGCGCAGAAGATGCACTTCTTCAAGTTGGCGTACAGCTTGTTCTCCTTCATCACCTCGAACACCTTGCGCAGGTGTTGTAGGTGGACCTCAACGTCCGTCATGCCGTCCTCGGTTCGACTGTGAATGAAGATGTCGTCGAAGTAGCTGGGCGCGAAGTCTCGGTACGGCCGAAGCAAGTTGGACACCATCCGGTTGAAGGTGGCGGGGGCGTTCTTGAGCCCCTGCGGCATCACGAGCCATTCCCACAACATCCCGCTGGGCGTGCTGACCGCTGTCAGCGGCACATCGTCTTCGCGCATCAAGATCTGATAGAAGCCATCCATCAGATCAATGGCACTGTACTTCGTGCTGCCGGACATGGTGTCCAGCACCATGTCCTTCCTCGGGATCGGCGTTTGCGCAGGTATGGTGACCTCGTTGAGCTTGTTGAAGGCGTGGACGATTCTCCTGCCGCCCGTTGCTTTCTTCACGCAGAACGTCGGACTGGAGTGCGGCGAGAGACTCTCGCGAACGTGGCCGGCTTGCCGGCTACTCTCGAAGAAGGCGTCAATGGCTTCGACTTGGTCGCGAGGAAGCGGCCACTGCCGCGTCACGCAGTACTTCGCACCGGGCACAAGGTCAATCTCGTGTCGAACACCGCGGTCGGGTGGAAGAACGGCTGGAACCTTGTCCGGGAAAATCTCCATGAACTCGCGCACGAGCGGAGCGACTGGGTTGCCGGCCGCTTCGAGCGCCGGCAACGACTGAGCTGCGTAGCGGGCTTGACGGGCGTTCTTCGGCTCGGCTCCTTTTGGGCGCGTCCTGGTGTCGGAAGCTGGGTCCGACGCACTGGTTGCGACGGCCGCAATTGACTCGGCGTCTTCGGCGACGATCATGCACACCTGCTCGATCTCGCCCTTCTTCAGGTCACGGAGGAAGTGTTTCCACGAGAGCCCAGGCAGCCGAGTGATCTCGGCGGCGTCGCACGGTGACGTGCGACTTCGATGTTGCGTACACGCGGAGGCGCCTCCGCGTCGTCCCCCACCAGGACTGAGATCACTTCAGTCTCAGCCTCAACTGAGTCCGCCGAAGCCGTACGAGGACGGCGCGGGTTGCGACGTCCGCGACGTCGAACCGGACCTGGAGTGTTGTCCGAAGCTGCCCATGAGAGCCCATGCTCGATCACGGTCGCTGAACTGGGGCGCCGGGACACAACGTCGGCGCCTGGACGCGGGTCATTGGACACGACCGCGTCGACTTCATCAGGGAGCTCCCGCTCGACCACACGCGGGAACCCATGCTCGACCGCGTGTGGGAGGCCACGCTCAACCACGTCTTCTCGCTCTTCAACGTTGGAGAACCGCTGCTCGTCCTGACGTGGCTCGACCACGTCATTGTCTGCTTCCGAGAACCGCTGCTCGTCGGGACGTGGGAACCCATGCTCGGCCACGTCAGACACGTCCTGAGGCTCCTGCTCAGGACCGCCGCAGGTTGCGAGTTCGCCCCACCGCGCACGAAGGGCCATCGCTCGCTTCGTGCGCAGCATGGGTCATGGAGTCGAGGTCCAAGACGGCAACATGCGGCCACTGGTTAGGCGTTCCGCACAGGAACGCCAATACTGCATTCACATCAATGTCCCGGGGGCGGACTGTGCCAGTCAGCCAGTTGATCTCAGGCTGGTGGCGAGCGAGCCACGGGATGCCGAAGACACAGTCGAACGAGCCGCTCAGCTCGATCACCAAGAACTCCTCGGAACTGGGGAACCCGTCGAACCCGTACGCGAAGGTCGCCGAGCGCCGCGGCGACCTTCGCGGCTTCCCATCAGCGTACTTCACGATCATGTCGCCAGGCCCGTCGCGAATGTTCAAGTCCACCGGTAACACCGACAAGCTCTCGGCGCGAACGAAGTTGTTCGTTGCGCCCGAGTCCAGCAGCGCGCGAAGAGGGCGCGTCGCGCCGTCAACGTGGAGGCTAAGCACAATCAGCCTCGTGTCACTGCCGGAGGTGGTGGCAAAGAGTTGTGCATGAAGCACGGGAGGGCTAGGAGGAGGATCTGCCACCAGAGAACCATCGATCCTTCCACGACCAGTAGGGCGCCCCGCACCTACTGGTTGTCGCCGTTTTTTGGAGCGGCGACGTCGTTCGCGACCGTGACGTTCGCCTGCATCGGCGCCGGAGCGCGGCAAATAGCCGCGCGATGTCCAGGTTTCCCACAGCGGTAGCAGCGCATCGGGCGGGGATTGCGCGTTGACGAGGCCGTTGGCGGCCTTGCTGATGACGTCGGCACCCGACGTCCACCGAACTGTTGAATCGCATCCACCTCCATCGGCTCCGGCTCGGGCACCGGAGCCCGAGAGACATCGAAAGCCTGCGACGCCGTCACACTGTAGTCTTCACGGAGCGCAACAGCGAAGGCCTCGTCGAGTGTTGGTGGGGTCTTCCGGGTCAGGTAGAAGCGCTGGTAGCCAGCGCTCATGCCGGAGATGAAGACGTGGACTTGGGTCGCCATGTCTACGGGATGCGTCGTGATGCACGACACAAGGTGTCGTGCTCGATGGATGTAGTCGAGCATGGACGTGCGTCCTTGCTTCAACGCCAGGAAGGCGGAGCGCTGAACGCTTTCATCTTGGGGCGGCTCGAACGCGAGCCGCAAGTCTGCCTTCATCGATGCCATGGTCGGGAAGCAGGAAGCGTCGGCCACGAGCTTGCCGAGCGCCCACTCCTTCGCCCTCCCCGTCAGCTTGGACAGGAGAGAGCGCGTGCGCGCGAGCTCGGTAGACAGCTGCCGAGCTTCGATCGCGATGTCCACCTCGCAGAACCAGCGGTTCAGGTGAAGGCGGCCCTCGCCTTCACCGCTGTACGTGGAGACATCGAGCTTCACGATGTCGGACTTGTTCTTGGTCTGCGTGGGAGTCGACACTCGCTGACGGAGGTCAGCGAGTTCACGCGCCATGAACTCCTGGGCGGCCAGGCGTTGTTGTTCCTCGGTTCCCGCCGTCAGTAGTGTCTTGATCACAGCGTCACCAGACACCGCTGCGAGGCGGTGTAGCGCCTCCCACTCGATCGCCGACAGGTGATGAAAGCTGGCGTGCTCCAGTGAAGTGGCAGTCGTCCGGGACGCGTCAGGCATCGACGTGTCGTGCATGTTCATCACGATCTTGGGCGTTGGACGGATTAGCGAAGTGCTACCAAGTGTAACGGGCTAACTGCAGCCCGTTACGTGGTTACACAAGCAGAGGAAGTAGTAGGCAAATTGAACTCTGGTATTAAGTGCCGAGACGGTCTCGGCACTCGACACCGTGCCAGCCATTAAACCTATGGTGGGCTCTGATTGGCCACCGCGCGCACACGGTGGCGCCTGTGTGATAGTGGCCTGTCACACCAGTAGTATCGCCTTCATTTCATTGTCGTCAGGTTCAGGGAAGCGAAGAGCCCACTGCTCATTTAGGCGCAACAGGCAACATTTACCTTGTTCTGAAAAGTTCTTGACCTCCTTGGATATACGCCTCTGCGTAAACTCAGTGCTCAGTACATCTGGGCGCTCTAGCACCAAGCACGGAAACGTCAATTTCAGGAGTTTACGAAAAAGAAGAGCGTTCGAACCGGAGACCCCCTCCTTTTGCACCTCACCAAGACTAAACTGTGCCAACTGGTTAGTAATTGCCTCCATTTCGACAATAAGATTCCAGTCATCATCGGAAAGCTCCAGCCAGGTTGCTTGCTCAGTTGCTGGGGATCGTTCAAAATACTTCGAGAACGCGAAACAGTTGTAGACCGAGCGTCGCAATAGCGTTGCCGCGTAGCCCACCCTAGTTTTAGCGTCAATCGCGATATTCACTACCCGTCAACGGACAACTTGTACGTTGACGGGTAGCGGTGTCGCAGGTGGTAGGTAGCTTATCCGATGAGTACGAACTTGTTGGCACCAAACGAGTCGGGCGTTCCCGACGACTGGGATAGTACCTCTATCACTAGAGCAACTGGACCCACCGCGACGAAGATTTCTAAGGACTAGCAGATTCGTCGACGACGATCACAATCGGGCTTCTTTGACAAGGTTAATACTGTCTTCTCGTCTTCGAAAGCAACTGCAGATAAGCTTCAGAGGTGGCTCAACACAGGGAAACCTGCAGACACTGGTTTCGCTCGACAAGGCTGAGGACTCACTGTTTTCCTTCGATGACTTCGAGAGGCTCACTCAGTGGCTCTAATACGTCGACGATTTGAGTGCCAAGGATCCCACGAAGGGGTCGTCCGCGATGTCGACACTGGCGGCTCACTACTGTACGACGACGCGCCTGTGCAAAATGGCGAAGCGGGCTGCGCAGAGTCCAAGAACAAAGGGCGTTGCCTCGAGGTTACAGGCCGAGCAACTGCAGTACTGGTTGGCCACTGCAAAAAAATCCTGACGACGTGTTGCACGTGATGAAGCTGGACAAGGCGAGCGTAGAGGCCCGAGCTCGCGATTTGTGCCAACGACGTGGCCGAATTCATCCCGAACATCAGCCGTTAATTGCCAAAACCCTCACGAAGTTTCATGGAGATGCGGTTTTGACCAGAATGGCCAACGAGTGCAAAGAGCGTGAAAGGAACCAAGAATATCGCCTCCAGGTTAAAAGACGAGCTCATAGATATCTGGCTTAACACTCGGACGACACCAGCAGATGTCTTCGAGGATCTCGCAAGAAGTCGGTCTCCTATCCGCGAGGTATCCCCAAGAGAAGACGACAATTGTTTTGAGACATTGTCGCGGACGCTCGGCGATCGCAACGTGGCCATGGTGCTCAATGCAGCAAAGAATAACGATAAAACGCGAAAGATTGCCACGGAATTGGAGGCTGCGCAGCCGGAGATGTGGTGGAACAGTGGGAAATCGGTAGACGTGGATGACTTCAACGTCCTGTATCATCAAGAGAAGGCCACGATGATCTATGCCCTCAGATACAGCTTCAAAGACAGAATTCTGCTTACGACGCTTGATACGGCAAAGAAGAACTTCAGCACGGAGAAGTTGGCGGCGAACTTGCAGACTGCGCTTGTCGACAAATGGCTCGCTGGCCCACGTCTTGAACTTTGAATTAAAAAGTGCTTCTTGAGTTTCGTAGAGATCCAGGAAATGGAACGTGGAGGTGGGGTCCGCCTTGACTTTGAGCCAGGACTTGACCCACGTCTCCTCGACTGCTTCGTCCATTTGTCTTGTGCTTAGACTGTTCATCCCATTCCTTGTAACGCGATTGACGTTCTGATAATGGAAACGGAACGTCTCGAACAAGGATTCTTCGAGGTGGTGGGGGGGGGGGTCTTGTTGAAATCCTCGACATACTCCAGCCACTTCGTGAACAGGGGTCACCAAGAATGGAATTGCCACCGTCCAGCCCTAGCATATTGAACACACCCCGAGGGGATTGATTACTCGCGAGATACGTCTCCATCTTCGCCGTTTGGATTGCAACAGCAGAGTTTTCCATGGTCGGATACTTCTTAGCTATCTGGAAGATTTGGTTCAAACTTCTGCCCTTGAAGCGAGACGCCAGTGTGTCCAGCTGCGCAGCCTCCACTTCCGTGGCAATCGTTCGTATTTTAGCGTTATGCTTTGCTCTGCTGAGCACATTGGCCAGATTGGGATCTTCGAATGTCCGCGACAACGTCTCAACGATTGTCGTCTTCGCTTGGGGATACTTGGCGTTATATGCGTCAATGTACAGTAATGGTTCAACTGTTGTACAGAGGGCTTTCAAACAATTGAGCGGGCTGTAGAAATAGGAGAACGCTTTCTTGCCAAGTCGGAGCTCTTCGAGGGCATCCGCTGGTGTCTTGCGAGTGTTGGGCAAGCTCGTTTCCTAACCTGGAGGCGGTATTCTTGCTTCCTTCTACGCTTTTCGCACTCTTAGCCATTCTGGACAAGAAGCCCTCTCCATGAAATTACGTATTTTGCCCACACCACGAGCTCGGGGCTGTAGAGAATATTCACGTCCACCTCGTCCAGCTTCATCACATGCATCACGTCGTCAGGATTCTTCACAGTGGCCAACCAGTACTGCAGTTGCTTAGTCTGTAACCTCGCGGCAGCGTCCTTTGTTCTCGGACTCTGCGCAGCGAGCTACATCATTTTGTACAGGACAGCGTCGTCGTAGTCGGCAGCCAGTGTCGACATCGCGAACGCCCCCTTCGTGGGATCCTTGGCGCTCAAATCGACGACATATTGGAGCCACTGAGTGAGCCTCTCGAAGTTGTCGAAGGAAAACAGCGATTTCCCAGTCTTATCGAGACCCATGCGAGCGAAAGTAACGTTGCAGATTTCCCCTTGCTGTTCCATCTTTGAAAATTCTCTGGAGTTACATTCGAAGGCGAGAAGACAGTCTTAACCTTCTCGATGAAAGGGATGGAAGGTGTAGTAGGTCGAACTTCAAAACCCGAACACAGTCGGGGGAAGCTGGCACTTCCTTCAGTTGTCTGCCGAGTGTATTGCGCTTGCCGGCTTTGAGATAAAACCAAAAGTGAGAAACTAAAACATGCATGCCGACTAGCTGCTCTACATCGCCACCACCAGCGTCCCAGTGGTGGCGCTCTTCACGACCTTCAGTAAGAGCTCCCTACTGCAACTTGCACCTTGCACCTCGCACCAGCTTGAGTCAACGAACGCACGCACGATGTGCTCTTGAGCACGCCAAGCCAACACTCGCTGGTTGCGGCGCCCAAGTTCAACACCTCTGCATACTCGGCCACGGCGCTGGCTGAGCAACAGCACACATGGCTGACTGCAACACGCTGCCCAGCATCGCCGCCGCACTCGACTGTACTGCGTGGTCGTGGTTGGGCTTTCATGCCGCCACCCACTACAGAAGGACCAGTTTTTTTCTCGGCGTCGTCATCGTCATCCCCGAATCCGCTAGTCCTTAGAGATCTTGCCGCAGTTCCTCCAGCGATGGGGGTAAACTCCCGATTCGAGCACTTCGAAGCCTCCGATCTCAACCCACGCGGGGAAGGCGAAGACGACAACGGTCAAACCAACAAGGCGAAGTAGGCGCATCACCGACTTGGCGGCTAAAGGCAAAGTGAATGAGGCGTGGTGGAATATCCGAAGTGTTTGGTGCCAACAAACAAATTCATACTCATGGCAATGCATCCACTTGGATCCCACCAGCGACACCGCCACTATGCACAACCTCCGAACTCGTTTTATACTCGAGCTTGAGCACGCGGAAAAGATAGAGCTGGAATACTTTAAAGAAATGCTTCATGGTGTGACAACGGCCGCGCGTGGTATATCAAGAATCTCAATGCACTGACGGAAAATACGCCGTGAGCATTAGTAGCTAATTGACACGACCAATCTGACTCCGGTCACGACTACCTGGTACGATTTGTTCTCTGAAATTTATTTCAGAGTTAAGGGACGATTGAAGTCACTGGTCTGATTAATGGTTTAGTGCATTCCTGACCAAGTCGATCCATCAACTTTCATCGATAAACGAGGGGTTTCATACAAATAGCAAGCCAAACTGCACTACAGTGGAGTAAAAGAATACACATACCCCGCGTAAGGTGATATTTTAGGTGAACAAGCGACCTCGTGGCGCACCGGTCATCCCTGATAGGCATCGCCGGGATGTCCTTGCTGTGCTTGCACGTTCTCCTCGAGACCGTTCAACATTTCAAACTGGTTGTAGCAAAGTTAAACGCTCTTCTTGCTTTAAATCTCCGTAACTACCGCAAAATGTACCACAGCGTGAGGTGGCTGCATGATCTTAGCTCTAAACATCAATCGAGTCATTTGATAGACAGTGTATGACTTCAGCTATGAAAGCACTCATTGTTCTCTCAGTTCCCATTTCGCATTGACTACTAAACCAAGCAACAGACCTTCCCACTCACCAAGCCCCAGTCCAATCTACCTGCAACATGGAGATGCCGCTACACGCGATTAATTCCAGTGCGTACAATTGCAGCAGGCCCCTACCGTACTAACTAACTAGTTATGCCACTCGACCTGGTACGTCAAACACTACGTACTAATCGGCTGGCTATCAGATACGACACTGAACGGGGGCCGTAGCTACCGGTGCTGCTGATCAGTGGTGGTGTTGGTCAGGAGCAGCCCGTGATCTCGCATTGAAATACACGTCAATGGCGCGGAGAAGCACAAGTATAAATGCAGTAGCTACGAGAATAAAAGTGTGACCGCCAGCGACACTGTGCAAGTTACCGCAATTTTACCCTCTGTCTTGCAGGAGCGGTTGACGGGGAGGCAGGCTGTCCAGCGGAGGGGTGCCGTACGACGAGTCCATTTCGGAGTCGGCTCAAACACGCCGGATTACACAATTCAACATGCAGACAGTTCACCTGCTCCTGGCGGCGCTTGTTGTCAGCGCCAATGCCGCTGATGTCGCTAATAAGCAACCACTACGTACTCACAGTGTTAACGAAGATAGAGAGCTTCCAACTGACGAGACGAGAAGGAGGAGAACATTTTCGCACCCTCAGTTGTCGCAAATTACGACTCGCAATCCTCAGGGGTCTCCTCGGGAAAATCACTGGTATCGTCATCAAGGGCTTCGCGGCTGGAACCCGAATTTCGTGGAGAAGCTGAACGCGGATCTTCCAGCGATTGAAAAATCGAAGAACTCTGAATTTGCTTAAGTGTAGAGGAGAAGAACATTTCAACATTACGTGCATCCCTTTCCTCTTTGCTTCACCATTCTTTTTTTTGAAAACCTGAAATTTCAGAGCTTCTTCGGGCCGGAGGCACGACTTTGTCATTATTAGACAGAGGCACCTGCTGGCACGAATAAAGTTGTTAGCCAGCCAAATGCTTCGCTATGTATTCAATAGTAAAGCAAGATGTGGTATAGAATTAAGGTTTCCGCTCCTTGTTGTGGACGGAGACCAGTTTTCCGCTCAGCGGGAAGGCTATTGTGGTCCAAGGACGCTGCTCAGATCGGTCTGTGCTGCATCGCACCAACTGGCTACATCCCAAATGCGCTGGCGCATCGCATGGATTCAATCCCAGCACCCGGATGTAGTAGAAGTAGTCTAGCAAGTCATTCGTAGTTTTACCTACAAGCCAGCAGTTGCCCCACCGCACCTCACCCTGGGACTGCTCCAGGCCGCACCGGCCCGGAGCGCCTTAACGAAGTCGAACACGAATGATTTGTGGCCCCCAGCCGTGAGCGATAGTGGAAAACCCCATCAATCCTGTTTTGATAGGCGTTCATCAATCAGTGAAAAACATAATCATTTGGTTGCCAAATTTCCATAAAATTCGTGATGCTACCGCTCTCCTTTAATGGCAGCTGCCATTAAAGGAGAGCGGTAGCATCACGATTTTTGTAGCGCAGACGAATATACACACTTGATAATAATGACCCTGTTTCAGATGGGCTTAGCCAAACATGGCTAAATAAATCATAAGAATTGAAGAAGCTCCATTCTGAAGAACACCACAAATAATTACAGCACAAATGTTGCGTCAAAGCCGTACAAACAAACCTATGGAGAACGAAAAGGCGAAACCATCATAGTGCCGACCCTAACTACACTCATAATCATACTTTCATCACTATTTTCATTCCTCGCTGACAGCGTGGTATTTCAGAGCCCGTCGACGTGAACTATTAGGTATTCGGCCTCTTAACATCCTCCTTTCTTCGTGCATCGAGCTCGGAATGCGCTTTGCATAGGCAACTACATCAAAAAGAACCAAAACAGGACGGACTACCAAGAATGCAGAAGCGAAGCTTAGTCAAGAAATAAAAACTAGGTTATATTGGTTTAAGCCAAGGTAAAACCCAAAAAATCTTTTTGAAAAAATCAACAAGTTTTGATTATCGGTGAAGAGGCAGCCGTGTTCTGCGTAGCAATCCATAACAGTAAACAGGATGTGGAAATTAAAGGATAAGATCAAGAAGGCGAAAGCGAACGACTTGAGGCATGCCAATGCGAACAAGCTGCACTTATTCCTGGCCTAGAATAAGAACACGTGGCTCTCGTCTGACTTGAATGGCATAAAGAAGTTGAAGAAAGGCGAGAAGACTGCTCACATCCAAGCACTAACGACGAAAGACCAAGTGCTCCCATCCGAGGTAACCCTGAATGACGTGTACTGAATGGAACGGAATCTTTATCATCTCGCCAGATCCACGTACTTGTGATACTCCGAGCAAGGACTACAAGCACAGGGTTGGGAAACGCTCTCGACATAAAAGATAGTTGCCAAAATCTTTCCTCCCGGTACCGAAGAAGCGCAGGCAGTGGATACATGGATGAGGAGAAGACGAACAGCTTTACAAGGTTTTACATGATGCGAGACTTCCCTCCAGTGGGAGGGAATTTAAAACGATTGTTGAGAGAGACGCGTATATCGCGATCTTTGGTTCGATAATGCAGGAGGTAAAGTCCAGTTTTGAATACGAGGACAGTGAATCGGAAGAGGAGGCTGAACTGGGCAAGGATTGCAACCAGATTGTCACGGGGGATCCTGGGATGGGCAAGAGTTGATTCTACCTGCATTGCCAGTTTCATCTCACATTTTGCAAGTGAGAGAATGTCATACAGCCGCCTCCATAGACAGATACTTCAAGTACGACGCAGCAAGCGACGGATTTGTCGAATTGATCGAGGAGGATCTTACCTCCCTTCAGGGACAACCTCCTGTGCTACAATTTGTCGAGACAACATTAACGCGGAGTTTGGGTACTGTTTGCCGCTCCTAATGCTGAAGGCATGGGCGATTTCAGAAAGTGGGTTCAGGCATATCTTGCCAAGGTGGAATTTGGAGGAGATGGGGCCATACAACATATTGGTTCCGGTTGCTTTGAACACGTTCGGTAGAACCCCGGATTTGTTTTCTCGAGACAGTGAGAAATATTCATGATAAAAGTTTTTTGTTGGGCATGGTATAATTTGATGATCCACAAGAAATGTAGTGACCAAACGAGCGCTTGATGAAGGCTGGGGTACTACCGGCCGATAAAGAAAGCATCTCGAACACTTGGTATGCTCATCTCGGACGGACGTTCTAAATGCTTTGGTTGCAGAGACGCTGAGCGAAGTAAAAAGTTGGGGGATTGAACACGTTTTTCGAGAGGTTCAATAAATATGGTTGTTACAGACATGAACACAAATCAGTTCTACACTGTATTCGGCATGCGTGGTTCCACAGATTCACTTTGGAAACAGAGCAGACGCCCAAATGCCTGCAGATACGCTTCGCGTGTCTGTGTTGAACTTGTTTGTAGATGCAAAGTCCACACTTCCGCCCCGAAGAGCAGTATATGAGGAGAATGAATGCTCTTTGACGTTGAATTGATAATCGTA